GCGGTATACTGAGCTTAGGGTAACGGGAGGACGCTAGTTTGTGTCCTCCCGTTACCCAAAGGAGAACTATGGGGAAAAGCCCCGACCCCATAGTTCTCCATTAAAAGTAACTTCACCCCACCAGGTCAATATCCCACTATTGATAGCTACATTCAAGCCCTCAAGTATGAGGTTATGAACTACGCATGTACGAGGAAGAGAATTCCCCAGAATATTACTAAGAAAGAGTGGGGGTCCCTGAAGTCTCTTAAAGAGAATATTAGCATATTCATTCAACCGGCTGATAAGGGGAGTGCTGTTTTCGTAATGAATTATGGGGATTACAGGACTAGTATGACAACTATGCTCTCGGATAACACGAGCTATAAACCTATTACCCGATCAATTGTTCATGAAACCCTGGGAGAACTAACCACATTGGTTAATATAGGAGTTGCTAACGGCTGGATCAACATAAAAAATGTCCGAGTTCGTGATCAACATCAATGCACGCATTGCGGTGATTTATGGTTTACCTAAAATCCATAAACGGGTTAACCCTTTGATGTTCCGGACAATTGTTTCAGGAACAGATTCTGCCACACAGCCTCTAGCACAGGTTTTGGATTACCTATTACAGCCATTGGTCAGGGGCCTCCCTGCATACATCAGAGACAAAGGAGATTTCCTTGAGAAACTTGATGCATTTGATACTGTTAGCATGGAGATGTCACACCACTTTAGTCAATAAAGAAATTGACTGGATTTCGTATTGGAGTGCAAGTGACTTTTTCGCTGGTTTCATGTTAACTGCAGAGGCATCTACTGTAGCTCCAGCACCCACCCTGTATTCCGGGTTTTCCTCCGGTTAGGAGTGCGATGGGACTTGTTGAATTTTGGTCTGACTGGCAGACTGTTCTCCCCGCAAATGTAGACACAAATGAATAAATAAACACAGCGTCCGGTCCCCCTACTGATCCATACCAGACCCTTTAGATCTGGTAGGAAAGTTAGGAGGGAAGTAAAAAAAAAGTGTGTGGGGTGCCCCCCTAAAAGTCATACCAGGCCCTTAATCAGGTCTAAAATCGCTTTATAGGATCTCCAATTGATGTTATTCAAAGGCCGTCTCTCTGCAATCATTTCACAGAAAATGACGTCAGCATGTCATCACGACCATATCCAATAAAATATAAATATACAGTATATTTATATATTTCTAGACCTGCTTTGGTCTACTTATAAGGTGAGCGGCCCACTGAGAGGGATGAGCACCTGGGTGATAATTGAAGTTGACGTATGGACTTTGTATAAAGAACTTTCACAGTGGAAGGATAAAGAGTGTGGTGCACTTGGGACAAATCTTGAGCACTTTATACGTGCGATTCCACATTTGTGTACATCTGAACGTGGAATACATGATTGCATTTTCCAGGTGGATATTTCTTATTTAGGATTGATATTTACAAGAAAAAGCAACTGTGAACACAATGATTGCATGTATTGTCTAGCACATATTTGTTATAGAGATTTGTTGTTTTTTTCCCATTTTATTTGATTGTTTTAGTTGAAGCGCAGCACATTTATTATTATACATTGTATGACAGCAAATGGGCAGCAGTGAGTGAACTGCTGGGTATTCGGCTCAGCCAGATGTTGAGTCGAATGGGTTCTTCAGCCGTACTCGGCTGAAGTGAATAGCCGAATGGTGTTCAGCTCCCTTCACTTCGGCTCGGTTATTCACTTGGCTGCTTAGCGAATGACCCCTTAGTCTTATATAGGGAGGTGAGGGGTGGAAGAGCGGGGCCAACACAAATAGTAATTAGACACTTCCAGAAGAGCAGAAGGCCACGACATGGCAGGAGGGTGGAGGAACTGTGCTATGGAATTGAGTCTTGATGGTGTGGTCGCATTGCCTTGCAAGTACAAAGGAGCATTGCAAGTGCATAAAAAAAATCATGTATAAAAACAAATAAATGCTGCAAGTAAGCATTTCAAATCCTTAATTGTTCAGCGCTTTTAACTTTTTTAAGTTGGTGACTGGGTCTCTCTAATTACTATTGTTATTATTATTATTATTAAGTAACAATCGAGATTCTCACAAACACATAATCCTCAGTACAAAGGATTATTTATTACAAATAACACAGAATATAGACAGAGAGCTAACACTTCCTCAGTCTTCTTTAAGGACTCATTTACACTGGCAGCATTCTGCTGCCCAACACAGTCTTATCGCAAGAGCAAGGCTATTTTACTACTACTTGTACTACTGATTTTCACACCAATGCACTAGTTTGGTGTGCACTGAAAAAAATACCTCATACATGTGCTGTAATGCATCTCAAACCACTGCAACACATGACAATTACATGAAAGTAAAAAAAAAAGAAAGAAAAAAGCACTACAATGTGATTTAACAACACATCATAGTGCAATGCACACACATACAAATGCACACCAACAAAAAATGGCACCACAGTGCCCCAATGCAGGTATTAAGCATTACTACGTGTTACTACAGTGCGGTAGTGTGAATGGTCCCTAAATAAGGAAGGACATTAAAACAGTTGGGGATGACTAAACAATAAGCAAGTGTTGAGACAATAAACACCTTGGTCAGAAGTATATATTATACAGCACAGCTTACAGAATTCAGCGTCAGGTGTATGTAATGTACATCACAGTTTATAGAATACGGTGGTCAAGAGTATGTAATGTAGAGCACAGTTTATAGAGTACAGTGGTTAGGAGTATGTAATGTACAGTACAGTTTATAGAGTACAGTGGTCAGGAGTATGTAATGTACAGTACAGTTTATAGACTGCAGAGGTCAGGAGTATGTAATCTACAGTACAGTTTATAGAGTACAGTGGTCAGGAGTATCTAATGTACAGTACAGTTTATAGAGTACAGTGGTCAGGAGTATGTAATGTACAGTACAGTTTATAGAATGCAGAGGTCAGGAGTATGTAATCTACAGTACAGTTTATAGACTACAGAGGTCAGGAGTATGTAATGTACAGTACAGTTTATAGAATGCAGAGGTCAGGAGTATGTAATCTACAGTACAGTTTATAGACTACAGAGGTCAGGAGTATGTAATGTACAGTACAGTTTATAGAATGCAGAGGTCAGGAGTATGTAATCTACAGTACAGTTTATAGACTACAGAGGTCAGGAGTATGTAATGTACAGTACAGTTTATAGAATGCAGAGGTCAGGAGTATGTAATCTACAGTACAGTTTATAGACTACAGAGGTCAGGAGTATGTAATGTACAGTACAGTTTATAGAGTACAGCGGTCAGGTGTATGTAATGTGCAGCACAGTTACGGAGTACAGCAGTCAGGAATATGTAACATAGCGGCACTAACATTGCTGGTCAGTGGAGGAATGTCCAGGTATCAGTGAGAGGAAAAAATGCCCCAACATTGTCTATTGTCAGCAAGAAGAAAAAATGCCAGAGGATCCATAACCTAGTTTTGGTGGTCAGTGAGAAGAGAAAAAAAAAACCCAGTGGCCTTTGTCAGTGAGATACAAAAAATACTATCAGCACTGGTGTCAGTGAGATTGGAAACAGCATTGATGGTTAAAAGAAATCCCTCCAGCATTCATTTCAGTGGGAAAATTCCCCAGCACTGGTGTCAGTGGGATCAAATTTAAAAAAAGATCCCCCAGCACTGGTGTCAGTGAGACTAAATAAAATGCTTCCCTCAGCACTGGTGTCAGTGGGACTAAATAAACAGCTTCCCCCCAGCACTGGTGTCAGTGGGATTAAATAAACAGCTTCCCCCAGCACTGGTGTCAGTGGGATTAAATAAGCAACTTTCCCCAGCACTGGTGTCAGTGGGATTAAATAAAAAAAGATCCCCCGGCACTGGTGTCAGTGGGATTAAATAAAAATAGTTTCCCGGGCACTGGTGTCAGTGGGATTAAATAAGCAACTTTCCCCAGCACTGGTGTCAGTGGGAGTTTAAAAAAAAAAGATCCCCCAGCACTGGCTGTAAGTGGGATTAAATAAAAAGCTTTCGCCAGCACTGGTGTCAGTGGGATTTAAAAAAAAAAAGATCCCCCAGCACTGGCTGTAAGTGGGATTAAATAAAAAGCTTTTCCCAGCACTTGTGTCAGTGGGACTAAATAAAAAGCTTCCCCCCAGCACTGGTGTGAGAGGGAGGTCAGTCAAGGAAATGTTGAATGGCTTTTATACAATGTGATGTGTTGGTGTGTTCTTGCAGCTGGCTCCCCACAATGTGTATGCTTCATGTCATCAGAGTGCCGGCTGCAAGAACCTGGAAGAGACCCCCTGGTGATATGACGTGCCATACCCCAAGACCTCCTGAGATGACGTGGGTATCCCAGGAGGCCAGGGGTAACAAATACCACCTTCTCGACCCAGGTGAGATGCAGGAAGTGTGGGGGTGGTTCTGTGGGGGTGGTTCCCTGAAAACGGATTCAAAAAATAATAACATAATAAATGGATTGTCGGGGGATGAGAGAAATTGGGTGGGGAAGGTGAAGGTCTAATTATAAAGTGTCCAAGACATGTTCTTTCTCAGCTGTCACCAGCTTCTTTCATTTTCCCCACACAGCTTAGAAAATGAAAATGATTAAAACTTAAATGGCTGAGGTCCACTTAAGGCAAAAAAAAAATTCAGGTGCTTTCTTTTAATTCCCCCCAATTTGTATTTACATAATTATACACACATTTTGCAACACGCACACACACTATTCATTATACATACACAGTCCACACTATATACACATACACAGGATTCTGCACTGTACACATTATGCAAACACAATCCGCACTATATACACATGTACAGGATTCTGCACTGTGCACATTATGCAAACATAATCCGCACTATATACACATATACAGGATTCTGCACTGTACACATTATTGACTATTTGAATGCGGACTTCCACAGCGATGACAACCACAATATGGCTGCACTCGCACGCAGCTGCATGAGAGCCACGCCCTCCCCAATATGGCGGCGCGCTTACAGTACACGCACGGCCGTAGGTCAGCGTGACGTGAGGTCGTCCCTAGTTCGGTGTCCTTGTCTCTGTATTAGGAAGATGTGGTACTGGGACGCTCCGGACGGTACAGATTGCGCTGAAAAAACATGGTTTTTGACGAAGTTGGCTACAGGGCTGGGTATGTGGCGTGTAATAGTGTATTCAGGTGTATAGGTTGTACCGTACGACAGGACAGGTGGGATATATGGCGGATCACCTGTGTACGGTCAGGGGCGGATAGAGGATATGTCAGGGAGAGTGATCACGTGTTTCAGACACCAGGGCATTGAGCTGATGTGTGCAGCAATTATCACTGAAGTACCCTGAAGCTGGGTATTATCCAGTATTCACTAGTAATCAGATTTAATGGAATAGTATACAGGTCAAAGGGACTCTGTCATTAAACAAATGAAAGGCTGAGTTTAGCTTTAATACCAGATTCCATGTTATACCCATATTTAGGATGTAACATGGCCACATCGCCACCCCCAACATGTCCTCCTTCTTAAAGGAAACAAGGGGTTCTTCTCCCCCTAAGCCCTTGACAGGTCTTGGATCTGGTGTGGCTCTGCCCACACAGCCTGGTCATCCAATCAGAGATCCTATCCATGGATCTGTAAATGGAGAGACTACAAGGCCTGTCTGCTGCTGTGAGAGATGGACTTGTAGTTGTCAGTGTGTTGACGTCCCATTCGTATGAATGGGCTGTCCTACAGTAACGCCGTGCAATACACCTGCAATGTCACATTGCACATGTGAACACAGGCCAAGGGATTTATCTTAAGGCAAAACTTGCCATGGTGGGAGGTTGCCATTGCTGATTTCTCCTCCTCCACTGTCATGTTCAGCCTCTGCTTTACATACTTTGAGTCACTTTCCTGAAGCAATTATGCGGACAATTACTTATGAAATTTCTCTGTCTTTCCTAGGCTCTTTGTCTTCTGGTCAGTGGCTTTGAAAGTATATAAGCCAATGGTCCGCAATAGTGATAAGCTTGGGCTTGGTTCAAACCCAATTTGCTCAGGCCCATTTAAAACTGACCAACATATACCCCTTGCTGCCCAATCAGTTGCAGTAGGCACATTGCGCGCCCCGCAGTTACGTGTCACAAAGGAGTGGGAAATGGCTGACTGGGCGAGGGGCGTGGTCGGCCGAAGTTTTGAGGGGGCTTGGGTGAACTGGGCTTGCACCAAGCCCCAGCTCATCACTAGTCAGAACATTTGCCAGGCAACCAGCGTTTTCAGCCACAATGGCTGATGAGAGGTTTGCTTTGAAAAATATAGGGCTTTTCCAGATTTTTACAAATAGTTTTCCTCTGCTTTAGACTCTGAACATAGATATATTTCTGCCTAGTTATTCCTGACCCTTTTAGGTTGTTGTGGGCACAGAATAAGAAAAAGCTGTGTTTTATTTCAGTTAGGGATATGAGTGGGCACTGGACTTGCTGCAAACTGAATCTGTGCAAAACTGTCAGTGGCACATTCCCCTACTGGCCCAATCAGCTGTGGCCGGGCCATTCCCTGCCCCACAACTACATATAACAAATGATTGTGGGATGCCCCAGCTGCAGCTGGTTGAGCTAGCAGGGGGCTGCTTCACTTAAGGTGCCCATACACCTTACGATTATCGTACGATAATCGTATGCGATCGACTTTTCGTACGACAATCGTAACGTGTGAATAGAGTGCCCGACCGATAGTACTGTACAATCGTACGACTTCTGACGGTCAAGCATGTCTGAAAACTTTGGTCGATCGTACGATGTTCGCATGGTTGGTGGCGTTTCCGTCCGTCAAAAGTCGTACGATTAACACTGCGCATGCGCAAATGAAAATAATTGTGGTTAATTACCGCAAGTTGTCCAGGTGTTTTTTTTTAACTACCGCTGATTGAACCTTTTCGATAATCAGGGCAGGATGGGGCCATCGTACGAAAATCGTACGACGGTTCGATCATCGGGCGAAAAGTTTTGTCCCATAATCGTAAGGTGTATGGGCACCTTTTACAGTTTGGTTCCGGCACAGCCAACGCATATCCCTGATTTCAATCAACGAAAAAGCAAGAACAGAAATCCATTTTTTACATTTCTGCACAAAATAAAGTGAACTTGTGCCCAAATCATGCACATGATAGTATTTACATATTCTGAACAAGCAGTAAAAACGCTTTTTAATCAACCTGCTTCATCTCAATATCTTTAAAGTGACACTAAACTCAGGAGTTAAACCTTAAAAATGCATTCAAGTACCCTAACTATTAAAAAATTTATCTTTGTGTATCACTCGGCTGTAGATCCTCAAATCATGTCTGAATTGGTGCTGACACTGTCCTTCCTTCTGAAGGGGGACTACTTTTGTTCCCCATGGGCCCTGTGTGTGTTGTAAAGTAGTCACCGCTCCAAGTTGACTCCCATAATGGACTACAATCTCATGTTTAGTTAGCTAATCTGTATTGAGATTGTAGTCCATCACAGGAGTGAGCTTGGAGTGGTGACTACTTTACAACACACACAGGGACCATGGGGAACAAAAGTAGTCACCTCCAGAAGAAAGGACAGCACCAATTTAGAGATGATTTGAGGATCCACAACAGCCGAGTGATAGTGAGTGAGATCACAGTGGTATGGAGCAGATGTCACTGCTGTCTGAAATGAATAGACCACGTGTCTGTCTATGGGGTATTGGATGTAAACGGACACCTATCCAGCCAAACGGATCTCTGATCCGTTAGTTTTTCTGGACCTGGGCGGGGTCTGGGATAACCGGGTGTAAACAGACGCCATCCGTTTACACACAGCTTCCCTCCCACAGACTTACATTGGGCATCTGATTGGGTCCACCTGAAAAATTGACAGGCGGACCCAATCATACCGCCTGTGTAAAAGGGGCCTGAGGGCTTGTTCACACCATGTTCGGATCATGTCCAGAACTGTTTGTTCCCGGACCAAATGTGTTGGTTCCCGGACCAAATTATGGTATTTCTGGGCTCTGTTCACACCAGCGCAGTCTGTTCCGGTCCAGACAAAAAAATAAATAAATACTGTTTGTCTTATCTTCCCTGGTCTGGAATGAACTGAAACACATGCAAACGCATCAAAACCGCATACAAAAGCACTGGACTGCACCTGAAAGCCCATTTTAAGCTATAAAAACTGCACCGGAACACGGCCAAATGGCGGTAAAAATGCACTGCATTTCCAGATCTGCTCCAGACATGGTGTGAACATATACTAAGTGTTGTGGAGAAATTTAATTTTACGTTCATACCATATGCATTGAAATCTGTTGCTTTTTTTTTAATAGCAGATCTTGGCAGGCTGCCAACATTTTAATGTAAACAAACATCTCTTGAGAACAAATAAAGGGGGCTGAGTGACACCATGAGATGCATGGTGTCATTGGTAATAACTAGTGATGAGGCTCGGCTCATCACCCCCTTCTTACCCAGTCAATGTCAGAAGTTGCAGCAGGGGCATTCCAAGTCCCTTTGTGATGTATAGCTGCAGGACAGAGAATGCGCCGCCCATTTTGAGCGGGCTTGTCCGAAGGTGAACTGAGTTTGCACCAAGCCCAGCCTCCTCACTAGTAATAGCCTGCAGTTTTCCAGTGTTAATTGCTGGACAACCAGAGCGTAGACAGAAGTCAACCATGGTACTATGGATTTATAAATTTAAATGTGTTATATGACTGTTTAATCATAGATTAATTCTAGGGTGAACTTCCTCTTTAAAAGCAGCTAATGAGGTCAGAGAATAAATAGTTTATGTCCATAGTCAGGGAACAGGTACACCTTAGGCAAAATGAACAAATCTTTGCCCTATTGACTAAGTTATGTGAATGTTCTGTACCCCTTCACTAAATCAGCCACATTATCTGTGATCGTGTCCTCGAAGCTACCATAGTTCAAACCAAGACTTTCTTTTTCAGTGGTGGTATTATTGGTTCTGAGATTTTTTTTTTTTTTTGTGTAAACTCATATTTTTTTCTTTTAGGTTTGGCGGGGTCGGCATATTACGTAGTCCTTTTCCAGCCTAAGACAGTACTGGAGGCCGTTAAAAATGCAGGAGGTGCTACTCTTACTTTGGGTATGTTTAATTAAATTCATTGGAAATATCAGTATGAACCTATTTGATCCAGTAAAATGTAAGAACCTGTGGCGATGAGCTTGTGTTAATGGCATCCATTTGATATGTGTGAGAAACATCTGGGATTATTCAGAATTCATTGACGGGTGCATATGACCTGCAGTTTGCCTCCTTTGGACCTGCATTCGACCTACTTCAAGCAGATTTTGCATTCCCATAGAGCAAACAAAAGCTCGTTGACACAGGCTGAAACATAATTGGCAAAGGTGTTGCCATTGCTTGAATACCAAGCATGCACGCTCCCGGCTGCATGCGTTGACTTACACAGTGTCTCTCCTCCCCGCCGTGATCTCCACTGTGTATGCGCCCGCTCTCATCCTGCTGCATGCCGTTCGGGGAAGCTGGATTCTACAGCCAGGCTCGAGCAGCAGAGACAGAGGTAAGTATTTACCTATTTGGTAACACTTATTTTTTTAAATGTTTTTGCTTATATTTAGTGCTTGCTAAAAAAATTGGACTTTAAAGGAGAACTATGGGGTTCTATCTTTTTTTTTAATGAATGCATTCCTTAGGCTAAATAAGTAAATAATGTAATTTACTGTAATTAGCCAAAATGCATGTAGTAAATGCTGAAGAGAGAGAGAGAGAGAGCTCCTTCCCCTCTGTCATCAGCGATCCACGATCTGTCAGCAGGGAGAGAGAGAGGGGGGAAGGAGCTGGCACACGGGGACGTGCAGGTAAGGAGAGAGCTCTCAAGAATCACTGTCAATCATCAGTGGGGAGGATCCCGTCAGATAAGTCGGGATGTCTTCTCATTGCGGCGCTTAGCCCCGCCCACCACCTAAAATAAGGTTTTACAGCCTTCCTGTGCATTTTGGCTAATTACAGTAAATTACATTATTTACATTATTTACTTATTTAGCCTAAGGAATGCATTCATAAAAAAAAGATAGAACCCCATAGTTCTCCTTTTAATACTACTTTAAATTGATAAATTGCTCCTCTGGGATTCCACAGCAACTAGTTGCATGACCATATGGTCACATAAGCTCTGAGGATCATCAGAGTTTATATTGGCTAATCCTTCTCTTCAACACAGATAATGTTATAAAATGGCTAGGCATTTAGTCATGTGATCAGCAGCAAAGAATCGCAGAGCAGTGGTTTCTGTAGCCAAGGTAAGTATTTTGTGACATTTGCTACTGTGTTAGTTTACGGGCACATTCACACCGGTGTCATGTATTAATCGTTAATCGCGGTACTGCAATACCGTGTGTTGCAGTGCGATTAAAAACAGGCAGAGGGCAAAATTCCTCGTGAACTTGACTTTCTAGTGATTAGTTCTGCCTCTCTGATGCCATGTCTCCTTCCCCTTTCAACTTTATTTAGGTGAATGAGCTCTAACAAAATGGCTTGTGCTCTGCGTGGTTCAATGCTACCAGGTGTTGGTCTTGGCAGTCTCTCAACTGGTGTTTAACCCCTTCGTGACTGACGACGTACAGTGTACGTCGCCAGCATCGGGGCTGTTTATACAGACTCCCGGTGACTTTTGCCGCCGGGACTCTGTTTAAACTACAAAATATTTGAATGTCTGAAAACCAGCTCTGCCCACCTGTGGTTGCGCTGTTTGCCCACCCCTTTGTTTGAAACTGCTTGGGGAAGTCCCACGGTTTATAAATATGACATTTTTGTCATTCAGTGGAAGCTTTGGTAAAGCTTATTTATTTGAATCCCTTTTTTGGAAATTGAGTGGCAGAACACCCACCTCTCTTGTTTTGTATGTTCTCATGCTGCTTGTTACATCTGAGCAGGGTGGTTAGAAGAGGGGTTAGGTTCCTTGGCCTTAGTGTTTCATGCCAAGTGTCCAATTTCGTCCAGGTGAGAGTTGCAGTAGAACCTATAGTTCATGAATATGAAATGCTGTGTCACTCAATCATTAAGGGGATGTGTAAGAGTTGCGCTTTACCTGTAGTAGCATCTGCAAAATCACAATGGATTTAAAAAATGGACTGGATTTTTTTCTAACAAATAATATCTATGGTTTTAATTACAAATAAATAGAATAGGAATGTTTTGATGAAGGCAATTGATACAATACCCTTTGTTGGATCAGGAAGTAATTTGCCCATAGGCCAAAACTGCTGGAGGCTGTGAGAGTTGCAATTTGATAGACACGTCCATCACATATTGGAAAGGAACATCACAGAACATGTCAGTTGAACCTGGGATGAAGCCACATAATGTGAGAGATGCAGACTTCTTTATGTTTGTATTTTCGTGATCTTTTTCTGTTCTTTCCTAGCTGCACTTGGAGCAATGTTTAGTGCCACTACCTGTATAACAGCCCAGGTTCGTGAAAAGCCAGATGACGCATTAAACTATTTTATAGGGGGTTGTACATCTGGTCTCCTCCTAGGAGTAAAAAGTAAGTTACATTTTTATTTAATTTAAACATATTTTATAGTCATACATGTGTTTGGAACTGACAGCATAAAAATGCAGGTGTAGAAAGAGGTACAGTGTAATACTAGGTTGATGAAAGCAGGGCAGATATTGTTGATGCGTGCATTATCAGATTTGGTTATCTGTGTTTTTAACTTTTTTTTTGGAGATCCCATTGCCTATAACCTGCTATCTTCATCAAGCCAATAGGTCACGGATAAGCAAAACCCGGCCTTCCAGCTGTGGTGAAACTACAAATTCCATTAGGCATTGCAAGACTCTGGCAGCCACAGGTTGACTCCCAGAGGCAAATGCATAATGGGATTTGTAGTTTTACCATAGCTGGGGGGCCAGAGTTTGCCTACCCCTGCTATATGAGATAAAACCTGCCAATATATGAGATTGAGCAGTCAGTGGAATTAATATTTAAATGGCATTACTGATGTATTAAACACAATGCTGTGAAGGGGGTATGGTAAGTTTTTTTTTTTTTTTTTTTGTTAACTTTTAATGTTATGGTTACATTGAACCTGTTGCTAATAGTATATACATTAAATAAAGTTTTACTTGTAAAACAAGTTTGTAAATACTTTTCTATCTGCCTGTGCCGCTGAGCACTAATTTGAAACCTAAAGATTCTTATGCTGAGGTCCAAAGTGAAACCAACACTTCTAGTAATGTTTGCCCATCGACTCTTACTGGGTTCTCCTGTTGACCCCCATGTCACTACTGTGTCTTGTGATGAGTGGAGGTCAGAGGGAGGAACTAGTGAGAGCTGCAAGTTTTTTTTGTTCTTTTTTTAACTTTCTCTTTATTAAACATTTTTTTTTAACAATAGACAAACCATAACAAGCAGCCACATTAGGGACTGATAAATGTACATAGGTCAGGACTCGCAATCCCATGGCAACTAAATTACACATTATTTCAACCATAAAAGTTCAAAGTGAAGGGGAAAAAGGTGCATAGGGTGACATAGTAGTATAGCTAAGTATTACGTAGGAGCCACTTATTTCAGATATGCAGTCAAGGGCTCCCTTTTTTTTTTTTCTTGACACTAAATAAGTATAAAACCTAGAAGGAAAAGAGAGAAAACGAAATCCAAGATGAGGCATAGAAAGAGAAAATGGTGCAGCAATAGAAAGAGGGAGAGAAAAGGGGGAAAAGAAAAAGAATCCGTGCTCTCCAGCAGACCAGGACTCCCTCAGCTGAGTTATAAGAAGGTGGAATAGGGAAAAAAGATAGGGGTGAATTACATCAGAGGGTCATTTTTTTCGCCAGGAGGACCAGGTTTTCTCAAATGCAGACATGGTGTTACGTAACAGCAACATTAAATATTTCATGTCAAAGATATTGTGAATACGTCTATAGAGATCTAGAGAAGAGGGTGGCAGCGACTGTTTCCATTTCAGGGAGAGAAGACACCTAGCAGCAGTCAAGACATGATACGGTAATCTAATGCTGTACTTGGGCTGAATGGGAAAGGGAAGGTCTAGTAGCCAATGAGTAGGGTTCATAGGCACTGAGGTGTCTAGAAGGTCCCCAAGAAAAGACAGCACACGTTTCCAGAAACCACAAATTTGGGAACATTCCCAAAAAGGCGGTACAAACTTTGTTGGATCTCCTGCATATAGACAAAATTGTTGGGTTGATAGCATGCAGATGATCTGGGGTATGGTTCCAATGATTCAGTATCTTGTATTGATTTCCCGTATATAGAGTGCAAATGGACGTTTTATTGGCGTTACTCCAGATTTTCTCCCACTCTTCCAGAGTCAACTCTCTCCCCAATAAAGTCTCCCATTTAGACACACAGTGATGTTTAGGGAAAGGATTACCTGGGAGTTTAGAGTTGTCAGAGATTATGGAAGTGTTAGTTGTAATGCTGAGTTCAGAAGAAGATTTCAGAGCAACAAGGAAGGTTTTAAAGGTGGCCTGTGTCCCTTTTTGAGGTGAATTTAGTCAGTGAGAAATATATCACCTGAATAGAAATTGAGGGGAAATATGTCTAATTGGGACACAGAGAACAGTAAAATCCTGGTAGGGATTCTGAACCTTCTTTTTCTACTATAACTTTTTCTACCTTATTGTCCAATGAAGGACACAGGGATTCTTAGACTGTTGAGTTATACTGCCGCCTACAGGGAAAAATGGCAACAAAAAAGCCTTTGGCCAGCACAGCATAACCCTGCCCACAATCATCATGTCTGTTTTTGCTATTGTCCCCAGGATAGTGGACGTGTTTTCTTCAGCTCTGCTTTTCTCTGATCGTTTGGAAGATTTTCTACTTTCAACAGCTGCTGATAGATTCATGCCAAATATATCAATTCCTGGAAATTTTCTCCAGTCCATCGAACACAGGCTTTCCCTGACCTCTCTGTGACAGCGCTGAATTTCTGGAAGTTCTACAGTCATCTACAGCTTCTGGTGAATTCAGGCTGGATGTGAAAACCCTGGATGACTCTCCTAGTCAAGCAACACAGGTTCCCAGTTCATTATACATACTGGTGTTTCCTCTGCGTCAGGCCTGCAGTCAGCAATGACTATCATTTTGTGTTCCAGTTCATATAGGATTCTACTACTCAGGTCATGCCAGTATGCCTGGCATTCCTTATGGATTCACCAGTCCAGAACTAAGGCAGTTTTCACTGTCCCCATCTCTGAAGACTCGACTTTATCAGTGGTGTAGCAGACTAATGTTGTTTTGGCCTCTATCTGCCATCTCCTACTGTCAGGTTGTCGATTTGTTGGGAATTTTCGTGTGCACTTGTCCCCCTGCAGCTCCATGTGTCCTAATGCAGATGTTAAGTGCTCTCCCCATTGCTCTGAATGGCGAGTGGATTTCCTTCCTGCTTTCTCTATGGCTACTATGTGTTGTTTACTGGCCCCCTCATTGCCTTTGGTGATGTAGTACATTTGGGCAATGGGGATTAGTTTGCGTCCTAACCTTTTAGCTTGTTGTGTCTGGCCTTAATTTCTATGGCTGGCAATCAGATGTGGGGTTGCTCAGCTTAAGCAAGCGCACTGCAGGACTTGGTCTTTTTTTGGCTCTTCCCCCATTCTCCATTCTTTGCTAAGCCTAACATGCTGTACTTCTCTGGTTTAGTTTAGGATCCTTCTGTGAATCTGTTATTAGATGAGGACTCTAAAAGAAGTATTGTTGTGGCACAGGATGTGAAATTCTTGTTCATTTTTATTGAACGTCGCTTGCGACAATCAAACCAATGTTTCGGAGCCATGTAGGGTCCCTTCCTCAGGGCGACATATTGAGAAAAAAAGAGAAAGGTCTACAGAGCCATATGGAGTGCAGGTGACAAACCACAACACTAGATTTTGGTCTGTGGCTATTAAGCCCACATCTGACAATTTATTATCTCCTTATTTTGGCGGTCTGGTTCACCCTTTACAGTAGTAGCATTGACCGCTTCTGTTTGTGATTTGTACTTTCTCAAAACCATGAAGTATGCATAAACAAATGGCTGTAATTTTTTATTTCAGCTGTGCCGGTCTGTCAAAAGCTTCCTGGTTTTCCTATTGAATGATTCTTCTGTTAGTACTCGTGCATGGGCAATGCTGGGCTGTGGACTTCTTGTATCAGAGGCATTTGTGCTGCATGGTCTTGGAGGGACTATGTCTCTTCAGATCGTTTTTAGAATATTTCTATTTATTATTTTTCTAGGACGTTATTGATGGCAAGAGTGCCCATTTTCTTCATCGGAAGAAGCCTAAAGACAAGAACATTGAATATTCTCTCTGACCATTAAGAAAGGCACCCTCCAAGCCAAGTTCCCAGTCCATCTTCTAGGTCTAGTACTGCCGGCTGCCAAATCTGCAGACGAGCCTTCCTTGGCATGCAGGTGAGCCCTCACTTTCCAGTGTGGGGGACACTTGGACAAGTTGCATTTCTGATTCTTGGGTGCAGGAAGTAATAACCCATGCTGCAAACTGTATTCTGGCTCCCTGTCCTTTCCTTTTTGTGTCATTCCACAGATTTGCAGATTTTTCATCAAGCCCTCTCAGTTCTCCTGGATCAAGGTGTCACTTCCTGTGGCAGAACAAATTCAGGGGTTTTTCCTCCAACTTGTTTATTGTCACCATGCACAAAAGGGGCATTTGCCCCATATTGGATCTCTAGTTCTAAATGTCTCAATTGGGATCCAGAAATTCTGCATGAAATCCACTGTATCTGTCAATGCCTCTATTCTCCAGGGTGATCTTCTGATGTCTGTGGACATCAAGCCCATGTCCACCTGTATGTCCCCATCTTTCAAGGACATGTATGGTTCCAAGGTTTTATTGTGGGGCTGCTGCACTACTGATTTGGTGGTCCTGACTTTCTACCTCTTGTCTGCACCTTAAGTATTCACCAAAGTAGTCCTGCTATAAGCCCTACTTCTCCCTCGTGGAACCCCTAGTGTGGCATTAGATGACCTCCTGTTGATGGTAATGTCAGCTTGGACTTCTGTTGGGCAACGTGACCTTGATAGTTCAGATCTGTTGTTTCAGTTCAGGTGGATCCTGAACCTTAACAAATCACTAATTTAGCATGTTTCTTCAACAGGAGACACCTCAAACTTTCTAGTCTCGTATTTAGTCTTTCCAGGCCAGTAGTTGCATGACTTTCTGCTTCTGCATGAGTGTCCTGAATCTGGTTCTTTCTGTGCTTTAAAGATTGTATGAACCCATCATATTTTTTGTAGCCATCACCTCTACGAGGCAAGTATCTTACCTGGCGGCTTTATCCTGCAAGTTACCCCGTCTTGTTCTGCATTGGGAAAAGGAGGTGTTGAGGCCCAGGATGTCCTTCTTGCCTAGGTTTGTTTTTTTTTTGCCTTTTATCTCAACTAGAACAGTGTTCTCCACCCCCCTGTGTGGCTCGAGTTCACCAAAAGGAAATGTCCCTCCATTGTCAGAGTGTGGTCCAAGCTGTGAGATTCTGTCTCTCAGCCACTGCTTTATCAGGGGGACTGATTCCTTTTGCATTCTGGATTGACCCTGAGGGTACACCTGCTTCTCTGTTCACCATCTCTAGGTGACTAGATCCTGTAGATCTTTCAGCTGTAGCTCTTTGAGCTGTAGACAGTCCCCAGTTTTTTGTTGTCTCTTCTTGGGCCTCTTTGCCTTTGTTGCTATGTTGCCCACCCCTCTGTTGGACTGCTTTTGGACATCCTAACACTCTAAGAATTCCCGTGTTCCTCAATTGATAAAACAAAAAGGATTTTTGTACTTACCGTAAAATCCTTCTCTTGGAGTCCATTGGGGTACATAGGTCCCTCCCTCAGTGGTACTTTTATGCTTCCTGTACTACTTTGCTACAATACTGAGGCATGACGGATTTGGGTGGGGTCAACTGCTCTTCTTCTTTTTGCCTGTGTCCATTTTTCCTGTAGGTGGCAGTATAACCCAGCAGTCTAAGAATTCTTACAATTACTTTTTTCTGGAAGCTTAAAGAAAACCTGTGACAGAAAAAGCTGCCTTTACTGAGTTGTTTTTTAAAAGGTACTACCTCCAGAACTGTCATTCTAATCCTCACTTATGTGATGAATCGCTGACCTGGAACAAGTATAATGGACAGGAGTTCGGACTTTTCAGAGATCACTAACTGCATACTTTTATTACAGGTCTGACGTGCTAGGTCAGGGGTCAGCAACCTTAAACACTCAAAGAGCCATTTGGACCCGTTTCCCACAGAAAAGAATACACCGGGAGCCACTAAGCCCCTTACACATCTAAAATGAAGACAACACAGCATATATCGTTTTTTACCTTTTATGCTATGTGTAGCATGTATATAGGTATATGTGGGCTTAGTAATGCACTGGACTCTGGGCTTACCTGAGACCCCGCAGAGCCCACCTGAGTGACCCTGCAGAGCACACCATAGTCATGCACAGCCCATCTGAGACTCTCTATGGTGGGATCTGCAGGGCCTCTGGTGGGCTGGTCTTCGAGGTCCCTTTCCCTGTACCTCCTCCCAACTCCTCTTACCTGCTGGGGCCTGGTCTCCTCCACCCCCTCCCCTGTCACCTCTGCCATTCCACCACTGGCACAGCTGATACCAGTGAAATGCGGTACCTCTTGCTCCGGGTGAGGCATGCCCCAGCCCCGCCGGCTGAAGCCCTGCCTCCAACCCGTCCCCAAGCTAGTGTAAAGGAGAAAGGGAGGTGACCGGGAGGAGTCTCCCTGTCCCTCACTTACTCCTCACTGCTGAGGCGCTCCGCCCATGACGGGTTACACAGCAGGGAGGATTTCCCTGCTGTGTTACCTGTTAGATGCCGATCTGAATGGAGAAAAAGCTGTCGGCTTCAGACATGAAGCTGACCGCTTTTTCCTCCATAATTCTAGGTGAGCACGCTGATACTCATGTAAGAGGCCCCCCAGGCTGCCCAGACCCTTCACATGGGTACCGGCCATACCCCCTGATGGCGGTGTTCTATCAAAGTTCGCAACTACATTAGAATGTGTGACTGGTGATGTGGTCACACATTTCAATGTAGTCCCGCCCAGTTTTTTGGCGGTGGAATGTGTGACTGCCAATAGGTCAAGCATTCCAAAGCTTTTTCAGCTGTTCCAGGGCAGATCGGCATCGCAAATCGTATGTGCAGGAGAACCGATCTGCCCTGGAACGGCTGTTCGGTCCTGCAATGTCACTTCTATCCGACTCTGAGTGCAATCTCACATTCCACCCCTATGATTTGTGATGCCGATCTGCCCTGGAACAGCTGAGAAAGCGTTGGAATGCTTGACCTATTGGTGGTCACACATTCCACCGCCAAAAAAACTGGGCGGGACTACATTGAAATGTGTGACCACGTCACCGGTCACACATTCCAACCTAGTTACAAACTTTGATATAACAGCGGCCCTGTCTAATAATTTAATCACAGATAGATTATAATAGGCAACATTACAGTGTAACGTTCCCCATTATAATCCACTTTTCTAATTAAGTGAAATAAAAGCACACAGTGTGCAGTTACACCCGTACCGAGGCTCCAGTGGTAGTTCCGCCCCTGGACAGGGAGCCGCAGCAGAGGAATGAAAGAGCCACGGGTTGCTGACCCCTGCACTAGGTAGTGAAGACCAGGATCAGAGAGAGCCCAAACATCTGCTCCTTTAAAAACCAAGTTACCAATGGCAGCTGCTGAATTTTTAACTCGCAGGTTCCCTTTAAGATCTCTTCCAAAATATCTTGGTTATGATGGAAAGAAAAAGCCAACTATTTCTACCCAGCTGTGTTTACTTTAAACAGACGGAGTATATAATGTGGAGACTTCTTTTCTGTTCACAGATCAAAGCTATGCAACTGCGTCTGTAGCATGTCTTGCATTTGGAGGATTTGCCACTCTTGCCAAGGTTTCCAAAAAGGAGGGCTGGGTGTGGATTCCATCTGAACCAAGACTCTGAAACGTTTTGTTTTGTTATATTAGTGCTGAAAATAAATATACATATTATTATTGAGTCTGGTGATTTTTGTTTGCCTACTTTGTTTCTGTAGTGTACACAATATGTTTTGTCACAACTGTGGTCTGTAAGTATGCGTCACCATATGGCATAAGAAACCTGTAATTTTCAAGTAAGTAATTTCAGGTAATCCTCTAACCCCTCTATCAAATGCCATTCCATACCTGTGTGTGTATGTGATATATATATATATATATATATATATATGTATGTGTGTATGTATATATGTACCGCACGTGTGTGTGTGTGTGTATAAATGGGGCAGGTGCTTTTAGTTAACTGCTTTTTTAGGTGCTCTTTAGAAACAGTGCAAAGAACAGTTTTGTCCAGTGCTTGGTGTTAACAAAAACATCTATTGCCTGCTAGCTTCTTTTGGAGCAAAATTAAATTTCTAAGTATACAGATGGTGACAAATTTGCAGGTCTCTGCTTCATCAGCTTCTCTGGGGGTCCCTAGGTGACATTAGGGGTCTTGGAGACCCCTGATATCTCCATAAAGAGGACTTGTCCCTGCAAATTGGCTATGTGATAGCAATAAAGTTAAGTGAAAAAAAAGGTTTAAGAAAATTTAAGTTACAAAAAAAAAAATGTAAAAGCCAAATATAAAAGCAATTAAAAAAAAACATTTTTTTGTAAAGTCAACCCGGCCCCACATACACATGCAAACATGCTTCGGTACGCCTAAGTGCGAAAACGACGATTGCGCCGCACATGTTAGATATCCCAGCGATTGTCGGAATGAGAGCAATAATTCTAGGGCCATTAATCACTGATAACACTAAACTGATGAGTGGTAACAGCTTTTAAACTTCGCCTATGGCCAATTTTGGGTATGGTTTTTTTTTTTCCGCAGGCACACGCAATTTTAAAGCTCGACATGTTTGGTGTCTATTTACCCTAAGTAAACAGTAGAAAGGTATCATGTCACACTCACAAGTCAGCATGTAAAAAAACTTGTCTCACCACTAAGGTCAATAACAGAGGTTTGGATACACGTCTTCTGCAGAAAATGTGAAAGCCGCACAGCCGCGCCAAGGCACCTCTTATAGTGCGGTCCTAACTCTAAACTATGAGAGTCTCCATCTTGGAGCACATGGGGGCACAAGATTTCAAATTGGGTGCAGGTTTGTCAGGAGGAAGCCCAGCCTCCTTTAAATGCACAGGGACGTACAAGGGACCCCGAACATCCCAATGGCAGCTGAGAACCCCCATGCATCACTGCACCAAATCAGTCAAGCAAAACAAATGACAAACGCGGCTGTGCGGCTTTCACATTTTCTGCAGAAGACGTGTATCCAAACCTCTGTTATTGACCCTAGTGGTGAGAAGTTTTTTTTACATGCTGACTTGTGAGTGTGCCATGATACCTTTTCTACTGTTTAAAGCCCACTTCGTGTGCACCTTACTGTATAGTTGGTGACAAATTTGTTGAGTGCGTTTGTCATTTGTTTTGCTTATTTACACGAAGTGACCCCGCCTTTTATTTTTTACCACAAATTGGGTTAAGAATGTTTTATAACATAACGAAGGGAAAAAAGGTTTTTTTTTTCCATTATATGGTAAAAAAACATTTAGTTGCACAACCTTTAAGGCCGGTTCACACCACAAAGTCTGCGCTCCAGAGCGTTCGGATAAGAGCGTGATTGATGACACTAGAATTATTGCTCTCATTCCGACGTTCGCGGTGATATGTAACATGTGCGGCAATGGATGTATTTGGGTTTTTCCGCACGTAGGCGGGCTTGACGCATGTTTGCGTGGGGGGGGACTTACATTTTTTTATTGCTTTGAGATGTGATTTTTTATTTTTTTGTAACAAATTTTTTTAAACCATTTTTTTTCCCACTGAACTTTATTGCTATCACATAGGGAGCAAACAAGCTCCCTATGTGATAGCCAATTTGCCGTGACAGGTCCTCTTTATGGAGACAGGGGTCTTTAAGACCCCTAATGTCACCTAGGGACCCCCAGAGAAGCTGATGAAGCAGAGACCTGCTTCACCAGCTTCTCTCTGGTTTCTGTACCGGAGAGTGACACTGAATGCAGGCAGTGATGTAATACACATCACTGCCTGCATTCAGAAGAGGAGATCAAACGGAGCTCATGTACTGAGCTCTGTTTGATCTGTGGTCGCAGAGTTGCTGTGCCGGTCTCGGGCTTACACCGGAGCCCGGGATCGCTAGCAGCGGCTGCGACGGGGGGGGACTCAAGAAGCTGCTGTCCGGCTGTTTAATTACCACCTCAGTGCGGGAGAGCGTATTCGTACGCTGACAGGATGTCTGTGTCCGAGCCGGGAAACACGCACCCCTACGGACCTGCACTTGAGGTGACGGGAGGGGGGTGTACGGCCACGTAGTCTCATTGAGAAGGACGGGGGCTGCGTACTAATCACACGCAGCACCTGTCCTGCCCGGGAGCTGCCCGATACGCAGCTGTACGTGCCAACCAATTCCAGAGTGAATGAGGCCTTATATTACACTGCTCAAAAAAATTAAAGGTAAACTTTGAAAACACTTTAGAGCTCAATGGGGAAAAATATCATACTGGATATATACCTAACATGTGTTAGGAATGAAAGGATGCCACATCGTTTGATGGAAATAAAAAATGATCAACCTACAGAGGGCTGGATTCAAAGACACCCCAAAAATCAAAGTGAACAAACAATGCAGCAGGCTAGTCCATTGTGTTGAAATTTCATTGCAGCAACTCAAAATGGTTCTCATTAGTTTGTATGGCCCCCATGTGCTTGTATGGATGTCTGACAACGTTCGGGTATGCTCCTAATGAGAGGACAGATGGTGTCCTGGGGCATCTCCTCCCAGATCTGGTCCAGGGCATCACGGAGTTCCCGAACAGACTGAGGTGCAACCTGGCGGCGTCGGATGGACTGAGACATAATGTCCCATAGGTGTTCTGTTGTATTCAGGATAGGCTAGTGTGGGGGCCATCCAAATGGTATCAATTCCTTTATCCTCAAGGAACTGGCTGCATACTGTTGCCACATGAGGCTGGGCATTGTCATGCACCAGGAGGAACTCAGGACCCACTGCACCAGCAGAGGGTCTTACAATGGGTCCAAGGATTTCATCCCAGTACCTAATGGCAGTCAGGGTGCCATTGTCTGACCTGTAGAGGTCTGTGCGTCCCTCCATGGATATGCCTCCCCAGACCATCACTGACCCGCCACCAAACTGGTCATGCTGAATGATGTTACAGGCAGCATAACATTCTCCACGGCTTCTCCAGACCCTTTCACGTCTGTCATATGTGCTCAGGGTGAACCTGCTCTCATTTGTGAAAAGCACAGGGCGCCAGTGGCGGACCTGCCAATTCTGGTGTTCCGTGGCATATGCCAATCGACCTCCACGGTGCCGGGCAGTGAGCACAGGGCCCACTAGAGGACATCGGGCCCTCTGCCCACCCTCTTGAAGTCTGTTTCTGATTGTTTGGTCAGAGACATTCACACCAGTGGCCTGCTGGATGTCATTTCGTAGGGCTCTGGCAGTGCTCATCCTGTTCATCCTTGCACAAAGCAACAGATACCGGTCCTGCTGATGGGTTAAGGACCTTCTACGGCCCTGTCCAGCTATCCTGGAGTAACTGCCTGTGTCCTGGAATCTCCTCCAGGCTCTTGAGACTGTGCTGGGAGACACAGAAAACCTTCTGGCAATGGCACGTATTGATGTGCTATCCTGGAGGAGTTGGCATGCCTGTGCAACCTCCTATGGGGTCCAGGTATTGCCTCATGCTACCAGTAGTAACACTCTAGTCAAATGCAAAACTAGTGAAAAACAGTCAGAAAAGAGGAGTAGAGAAAAAAATGTCAGTGGCCTCCACCTGTAAAACCATTCCTGTTATGGAGGTCGTCTCATTGTTGCCCATCTAGTGCACCTGTTATTTAATTCACACCAAAGCAGCTGAAACTGATTAACAACCCGCTCTGCTACTGACCTGACCAATATCCCAGGAGTTTCATTGACTTGATGCTATACTCTGAATAAAGAGTGTTCCTTTAATTTTTTTTTTTAAGGAGTGTATTAAAAAAAAATGCCTGGCAGGGTCACAGCAGGTACAGCTACTACTGTGTATTACAGCATCTTGATGAGGAACTTCCCTGTGCTCATAAACATTATGACCACTGAGCGTTGCTTAGCTGATCATAGTAGTCATTCAGAGGACACCTAATACTTTTGTAAATGAATACTAGGCATTCATGGGTGTCAAATTTTGGTGCCAACCCATAATACGCACCCTTTGACCATGGTCAACAGCCTCACAGCAGCAACAAGTGTGGAAGCTGGATAACCCAGTCACTTACTATAAGAGAGGAGGCTATGAGCAGTCATAGTGTCAGTGTGTTGGAACTGGTGATAGTGAGATGACAGGAAGTGCTGGCTTAATAGAAGACTGATGTAGAGCAGTGGTTCTCAACCTGTGAAACCCACATTTGTCCTCGTTCATTAAGTCGCAACCCAAGTGGCACTGCATTGCGGTACTGTGCATTTCAGTGCAAGCGATTGAGCTTTGGGCGTGAGGTGCGTTTGGGGTGCCATTCAAATAAATGGCAACACAAGGCACCTCCAGCACCAGAACGCATAGTAGGTGTGATTGTGTAGTAAAAGTGCATTAATAGTACAGGACTGTTCGATGAATGCACTGTACTAGTGTGAACGGGCCCTCAAAAACACTGACCGACACACACAACCACAATCTCACACATATACACTCCAAAAACAAATTTTACATTTTCTTTTTTTAAGATCCACCCAGTATCCCTATATTACAAGAACTGGAGTGGGTCATCAGCCTGGGGTCCAGTGTTGTGCTGTGTTGGAGCTCCATCCATATGTGCATTCCTTGTACAACTCCCTTGCACACGTTGTAGAGGTGCCGGTAGCCAGAATGTGACGTCACTCCGGTCCAGGCACCTCTAAAGGGCAGGTGAGGGAGCTGTAAGTAATGCATGCATAGGTGTAGCTCCCTCGCAGCCATAGCTCCAGCCCACCCCACCTCAAGCTGACATTTGGGCATATTTTGAATGGCTGCTTGGCGCGAGTACTGATAGTGCTGCACTAGGGGGAGGTTGAGGAGCATCTCACCTAGAAAAGTTAAAGGCATGCAGGGACCCACTGAACACAGGGTCACGACCAAGGATGTAGCGGCATGGTGATAATAGTAAACTGTGCTCGAGTTCTGTGTATTATAGTAGTTACACTGTTCTTTGCGCCCCCTTCTTGATCACAGAACTGTACTCAAAATACATTTTAAAAGGACTAATATCTGTCAGAGAGAAAAACACTAATTGCTAGCCCTTAAACAGTTAACCATTTAGCGATTTTTTCCCCCCTACTAACTGGGGTCTTTTCCTTATTAGGTTTTACATCTTTAGTTTTCACTCTGCTGACCCTCTGTCCATTTGTGAGTACCCCACTGCAAAGTCTTTAGTTTTTTCTTTAAAGTGTATAAACAGTGTGTACTAAACATTTCTATCACCTCACGTTCCCTGCATCATCTCGCCCCATAGTTACCAATAATATAAACAACAAGTGGCTTATAAAAGAACAGAAGGGAAGGAAGAGTAGGGAAAAATTAGAACTGCCCCATTATATGCACAATTCCTGGAAAAAAATGAAAGTGGTTCCTACAGTAGAAATTCCTGTGAGGGAATGATTACCGATGAATAGAATAGGCAAGATGGCATATGGATAATGTCAAGTAATGCAAAAGGCAACAAAGATATGAAAAGTATGCACGCACAACTTTTAACTTTCAAATTAATGCAATTTTAGAACATTTAACAAAAAAAAAAAAGAACCATTAGTTCTGCTGTTTTTACAGGTTATTCATTTGTGTAGATTTGAACACTTATACCGATAAACTAGACAATGTTCTGTGAAATGCACTGAGAAATGTCACAGCAATCTTGCCGCTACTCTCATCAACTGCTTGTAAATACCTATAATGTAAATATAAAATTGTCTTGAAAAATGTCACACAAATTGGTTTTTATTGATACATTGTTTTAATAACAAATGAATAAAAATCTTTGATTACAATATGCTTTTTCACCTAAATAAGGTGGCAGCAACATCTCCATGAGCTTAATATTATACAATTCTAATTATTCTACAATCTGTTTATCAACAAAGACTTCTAGCGACTGTATTACCCCCTGTCAATTGTGATCTTTTTGAGAAGTCTTTTCTTTCTTCCTCTGATATCTACAAAAAATTAAAATACATATACTGTATGAGGGAAATGTTACTTATAAGCATCTAAATACCTTTAAGCATCTAAAGGGAACCTTTTTTTTCTTAAAACATAAGCACAAGCAATTCAAAGTGCACTAACCAGATGCTTATTCTAGAAACATGGGGTAACCGAGACCCTAAAAAAGGTGAACTCCAGGCACAAAAATATTCATTTAAATATATTCCTTAACCCCTTCGTGACTGGCGACGTACAGTGTACGGCGCCAGCATTGGGGCTGTTTAAACAGACTCCCGGTGGCTATTGCCTCCGTGAGTCTGTTTAAACTTGTAAAGCCGACTGTCGACTTTACAACAGAAGCGATTCTGGCGACTTACCTGTCGCCAGATCGCTTCTGTGTCCCGTAGAAGGGGCCGCCACCCCGCCGGACACCGCCTCCGTGCTTCCCGGGCTCCATTGCCCCTCCTACGGGCCCGGGACCGGCGTCCTTGGTGTCCGCGGGGAGGAGGTCGACGAACTTCCGTTCGAACTTCCTTAACCACTGAACCTTCACATTCTCACATAATTCATTCCCACTGCTACCTCCTCATGTATCACTCCCCGCTCTTTCAGATTGTAAGCCCTCAGGGGCAGGGCCCTCCTTACCATCTTGTCTTGAATTGTATTGTAACTGTAATGTCTTCCTTATATTGTAAAGCGCTGCGCAAACTGTTGGCGCTATATAAATACTATGTAATAATAATAATAAATCCCCTCCCCGTTCTATGGGCCTGGGAGCGATGCAGATTGCATCACTTCCGGTCCCTGGGCTATCAGTTCTGGGCTCCTGCAGCCCAGCTATAAGCTATTGAAGTGCGATCTGCAATACACGCACCTTTAGACAAGTTGGGAAAAAGGTATAGGTTTATCAAGTTCAATTGCTCACACAGTCTAGAAGTGTTGGATTTCAATGAATAAGCCCATCCATGATTGATGTTTTATATGTGTGTGGACAGTGAAGGGAACACTCTGAGATTGCCTTGATTAGGCTAAAAGGTGGCCATACACTCTACAACCATCGCAAGACCTTAGCCTTGCGATGGTTGTACAGGGATTAAAAAAACGTACGATCCGCCTATCTTGGACAGGCAGATCGCACTTTCGATCATCGCAAGCCCGCCCCCCTGAGGGGCGGGCTTCCGATGACCGCAATGCTGAACGGGCGTGCGCACACCGGCCCGTTCGGCATTTGTCTTCCGAGCACCGTTCTAACCAGCCGAGAACTGTACGATTCCCGGCTGGTTTTCGAACATGCTGGTTCGACGGAAGACGTGCGACCGTACAGTAGAAACGGTTGCACGTCTCCGTTCACACTGCTCGATTCTCGTACGATCGCGGGATTTCCCGCGATTCTAGTACGAGAATCGAGCAGTGTATGGGCACCTTAACAGACATTTTTACCTGTCTATCCGCTCATTGGTCTGGTTCATTTTTTCAGCTTCTTTCAATTTATCCTCCATCAAACGTGAAAGGAGCTCTTCATGTTCCCGTTCAATACATCCAAGACGGGTTAGTAAGGTTTCAACCTCCTCTCTCAGTCTTTGAGAATCTTCACAACAGGAACTACAACATGGTATTATAAAATAAGAACCAAGGTAAATAAGAAAATAATATTAGACTTTTCTACAAATAATTTACAGCAAATCCACTTGCAAAAGATAAAATGTCTTTAGAGTTACTTAACAATAAACCTGCCCCAAAGAGAACATTAGAACACAGTTATGTGTCAGGGCATAAACTGCAGCCATCTACTAAAATGCAGACTTTCTGAAAGCTGAAACATATGCATGCGCTCCACTCACCTCCCACAAGCCCATGCCTATTTAACCCCTTCATGACTGAGGCCCTTTTTTCAATTTTTGCACCCATGTTATATACAGAAGAACCAAACATTGCTTCCTAGAATGTGTATAGGGGAAAACCAATCTATACTGCACTACCAGCACTTGCCACATATTTAAAAGGAGAACTATGGGGTAAGTGTTTTCCCCCATCATTCTCCTAAGGGTTAAGGGAGGACATATATACTAGCGTCCTCCTGTGAACCAAATCTCAGTATATCGCAAGCCACAGCTCGCGGTATACTAAGACCGCCGCAGGCAGGATGGATCCTGACATTACTGTCGAGATCCACCCAGCTGCGTGAGTGACAGCTGGCTCTGCCTATCTAGAGACAGAGACAGCTGTACTCGCCCCCTGTCTGTTCCGCCAGTCAGCGCTGGAGGACCGGAGAGGGGAGGGAGGGAATCCCTGCAGGGAGCCATGAGTGACAGTCGCAGCTCTCTGCAGGGAGATGATGGAGAAGAGAGCGAGCGACGGTATGTGTTCGCTCACTTCCCGATCTATTGAGCCGACGTGTGACAGTTTCATTGTCACACGTCGGCTCGAACTATGAGGATGAGTGAAATTCACTCACCTCATAGTTCTTTAATAGTGCAGGATTACAACCATGCTTTAGATATAAGGGGCAGAAGGACTATCAAAACTTTCCATCAGATATTTTCTACAAACCACGCAATTAACAAAAATCCAGCCATGAGATCAAACGTCAATTAAAAAAAACTGCATACCAATCTCTGGTATTCTGAATGACGTCTATGTTGGACTTCTGGCTAGAGATTAGTTCCACTTCTTGTTGCTCCTATATAGAAGTAAAATGTACATAAAACATGAATGCAATGGGCATAGACATATATAAAGATAAGCTATAGTGTTCAGCCTATTCTGCACATGTATGCTAACCTTTGAAAGACAAAGCAAACAAATAAACAAACTGTTTACGAGGACACCAGTCTCCCTTTGCTCGTGTTTTCATTTTGAACCATTTGGTGACCGAAAGCCATAACTCTGTGGAAGTTGTTTGCACAGTGATGGACAAATCCATGTTAATGGATAGTCAAAGCTCCTTGATATAATACAGTATAACTATTGAACATCTGAGGACCTTCAAAAAGAGTTGCTGTATCTGCTTTCTTGGCTCTATGGTTTTCTTGAACTAGGAAATAACCCTTCTACTATAAAAGAAGAGGAAAGGTGATCTGCAGATGACTTTTACTTTGGAATGCCAAGGGGGGAGGGGGGGAGTTTTGCCTTAAGCTTAATTGAAATGTTTTCTTCTGTCCTTTTTCTATAGGGTGCCAATTATTTTTAGTAACCAAGTAATCTATTGGTTATGGAGAAAACCATCTAGATCAGAATTCTAACTTACTGCCTAGAAAACTGGGTTTCCTTCCTTATGTTTGTTTATTCTAAGTGCTGATGCTGATACTTTTTCAGTGCTAATTATTTATGGAACACAAAAAAATACCTTCCACCCTTCTGTTTTTATTTGCTTTTCAGCAGAAGTTGTCAATTACCCACGTCAAGGTATATGAACTTCCTTAAAGTGACACTAAACTCAGGAGTTAAATCTTAAAAATGCATTCAAGTACTTTACCTATTAACAAAAATGTAGCTTATTTGTGCATCACTCGGCTGTAGATCCTGAAATCATCTCTGAATTGGTGCTGACACTGTCCTTCCTTCTGGAGGGTGGCTACTTTTGTTCTCCATTGTCCCCGAGTGTGTTTTAAAGTAGCCACCGCTCCAAGCTCACTCCTGTGATGGACTACAATCTCAATACATATTAGTAAACTAACCGTGAGATTATAGTCCATCACAGGAGTGATCTTGGAGCAGTTCTACTTTACAACACACAGAGGGACCATGGGGAACAAAAGTAGTCACCCTCCAGAAGGAAGGACAGTGTCAGCACCAATTCAAAGATGATTTGAGGATCTACCGCTGATGATACAAAAATATAAATCTTTGGTAATACTTAGGGTACTTGAATGCTTTTCAAGTTTCTATGCCTGAGTTTAGAGTCACTTTAACTGTGTACAGGTGATCACTAGATCAGATGGCAGTTGATCAGTAATTACTGCAACTGCTCTCAATATAGTAAATCCTCAACATGGCTGTAATAGAATTGAAACAAGGTCAATTGTACCATGATATAGGCCATTAAGATCAATATAAACATACATGTGTCAGAAAACCGATTACACTAAATGTCAGTGTGCAATTGGCAAACAGATAAAAAAAAGCAGCATCCCGTGTTTTCACAAAACTGAAATACCTGCTGTGGCTGGAGAAAATGCTTTTCTGGAAACGCAAGCCGGGCGGTAACATGATCAAATCTGTAGTCATTTGTTCATGTGATCCCTACTAAAGGTGGGGGATCAGAATTTGGTTATGGAAACTGCAGTTTTTTCCTGTAAAGGATGTAAAAATGTATTTATTACTGGTATTTATACCAGTATGTAAAAACTATACCAGGATGTAAAAATAGCCATATGAGCCAGTAACCTGCAGATCTGGGTAGGGAAACATCGCTCAATAGGCTGATTGCAGAGATCCAATCTCCTGAAATAAAACGGCAGGTCAGATGGTCAGGCCTGTGCAGTCAGCCCTGATTGAAGGAGGTGCAGCTCTGCAGATCAGTAAATAGAAGGTTCTCTTTCTCCAGGAGAGTCTCTCTAGGATGGTCTGTCTTTTTACAGCTGTCTCTCGCAGTCCCACAATGTCAATCTCACTTTCTAGCGCAATCTTTATCATTACAAGGCGTTCCCTTTCAGCACAGTGCAGCCTAAAGGTGCCCATACACTGCTCGATTCTCGTACGAGAATCGCGGGAAATCCCGCGATCGTACGAGAATCGAGCAGTGTGAACGACGACGTGCGACCGTTTCTACTGTACGGTCGCACGTCTTTTGTCTAAGGAGCACGCTAGAAAACCAGCCGAAAATCGTACGATTTTCGGCTGGTTTGAACGGGCCGGTGTGCGTTCAGCATTGCGGTCATTGGAAGCCCGCCCCTCAGGGGGGCGGGCTTGCGATGATCGAGAGTACGATCTGCCTGTCCAAGGTGGCCATACACTGTACAACCCTCACAAGACTTTTGTCTTGCGAGGGTTGTAAAGTAATTTAAAAAAGTACGATCTGCCCATCTTGGACAGGCAGATCGTACTTGCGATCATCGTAACCCCGCCCCCCTGAGGGGCGGGCTTCCGAAGACTGCAAACGGGCAGAGTGCGCGTGCGCACACACCGGCCACCCGGCAGTTGTTGAACAAGCAGGCCACTAACTCGCCCGAGAATCGTACGAGTTTTCCAGCCTGCTTGTTCGACGAAGACGTGAGACCGTGCAGTAGAAATTGTCGCACGCCTTCCATACACTTTGCGATTATCGTACGATCGTGGGATTTCCCGCGATTCTCATACGATAATCGTGCAGTGTATGGGCACCTTTAGCCTCCTAAGGACAACTTCACCCACAAAGGGTTTGAGTAAATGAAAATGTGGATTTTTTTTTTGTTTGGGTTTCGTACCGACTAAAACAGTTTGAAAGCGTTTAGAAAGCATGTTTGAGTTCTGATTTATCTGTTAATGTGAAGTATCTCAAATGCAAGACATTTTCCCTAAAGCAAGCAAACCTGCACAATTCTAACTGAGCATATGATAATAAAAAACATGAACCGAGATTACCTTCGGTAAAAACTGCAAGCCAAAATGATCAGTAGATCCAGGCATACTGTCATAGGCAATTGAAATGATCATATTATATCAATAATGTATTAGCCTCACCGTCTTCAACTGCAGTTTGCATTCTCTCTGGCATTTCTCTTCCCCTTGCTGATCTAGTAGCTTTATATCTGTTGACAGAACAAAGATTCAACAGTATTTTGGAAAAAGTAGTAGTTTTATCATATCAATAATTGGTTGAACTTAAAGGACTCTTAACACTGACAAACTACACTGCCTGGCCAAAAAACTCACACACTCTAATATTTTGTTGGACCACCTTTAGCTTTGATTACACATTCACAATGGCATTGTTTCCATAAGCTTATGCAATCTTACAACATTTATTTATTTATGTCCAGAGTTGCATTCATTTTCCCCCCAAGATCTTGTAGTGATGATGGGAGAGTCAGACCACTGTGTAAAGTCTTCTCCAGCACATCCCAAAGATTCTCAATGAGGTCTGGACTCTGTGGTGGCTAGTCCATGTGTGAAAATGATGTGTCATGCTCCCTGAACCACTCTTTCACAATTTGAGCCCAATGAATCCTGGCATTGTCATCTTGGAAAATCCATTGATGGAAAACCTGGTTATTCTATATATGCAGCTGACCTCACTTTTGTAGACATAATGCTGCTGAACCTAGACTAATTATCCAATGGAAGGCTCTTGCTTTTTGCTTAGCTAAATCCAGGTGGTGACTTTTTTTTGGCCAGGCAGTGTATGCAACTACAAAATATGCATATCCCTTACTTCATCATAACAGTGAGAATCAATGTGCTGTTGAGTTCAAAGAGGCCAACTATTGGTTCCTACAGGTTTTTTTTAACCCTTATTTTCAGGTTTTGGGGAAGCCCTGCTAAATACAATTATATCTACAGCTTGCTTACTACCATGATCAGTAAGTTGTAGAAATTTTTAAATAAGATAAAGAATGTGGTTTCTAAAAGAAAGATAAAAATAAAGAATGTGGTGTACCTAGAGTATCTGCCAGCAGTGGTTCTCAACCTGTGTAACCCCACATTTGTCCATGGTCATTAAGTCACGACCCAAGTCGCACTGCAATGGAACGCACAGCATTGCAGTACCATGCGTTTCGGTGCGGGCGATCGAACTGTGGGTGGGAGGTGCGTTTGGGGTGCAATTTAATGATCCACCCAGTCTCCATACCTTACCAGAACTGGAGTGAATCCTCAGCCTGGGGTTCAGTGTGGGCTGCTGTGCTGTGACAGAGCTCCATCCATAAGTGCATGGTTTGTACAGCTCCCTTTGGGTGTCCTGTAGAGGTGTCGGGAGCCAGGATGTGACATCACACCGGTCCAGGCACCTCTACAGGACAAGTGAGGAAGCTGGATGAATGGATGGAGCTCCCTCGCGGCCATAGCCCCATCCCACCTCAAGCTGACACTCGGCACAGAATAACTCAAGAACTGGCAGTGCTGCAAAAGGTGGAGGCTGAGGAAGGCATGAGGCGACCCACTGAACATGAGGTCACAACCCACCAGTTGAGAACCAAGGCTCTACAGTATAAGGCAAACCTATTTTAGTAAGAATCATGAAATAAAGTAAACAATGGCCAAAAAAGAAATCTGTAGGGCCCCCTGACATGGATGGTCGGTGGAAAATGTTCCTTCTTGCATTAGTTGTTAGTGTACAATGTACTGTTACATTGGTGGACAGTGTGGAAGTGACCTATTACATCAGTGGTTAATGTGGTAGCCCTTTACACTGGTGGACAGTGTAGAAGTGACCCCTTAAGGTGCCCACACACCTTACAATTTATCTGCAGATTTTCTGTGGTCAGATTGAAAAGGAGTCAAGGTTTAACCACCTAAGTACCAGATCAATTTTGTCATTTTTGCACACACTTAATGGAAACTGGATAGAAAAATACTTTAAAACCCCCAAACAAGTATATATTTTCTGAAAGCAGAGACCCTGTAGGATAAAAAAAATGGTAGCTGCATTTTTTTTATGTTGCACGATATTTGCGCAAATGTTTAGCAAATCCATATTTCTAGGAAAAACAAAACCACTTAAATGAACTTCAGTGCACTGCACGGCAACACAATTTAATACCGTTTCTTTGGTAACATATAAAAGATGAAGTTATATTGAGTAAATAGATACCAAACATCTTGAGTATTAAAATTGCGTCTAATACAGACAGTAGATGGTCATCTGCAGGTTTTGGCAGCCATCAGCAACAAACAGTATTTCTACCAAAATAGACCTCATGAAATACCTGCAATCAATCCACATCAAAAGGCTTTTAGAACATATTGCAGATGTCTAAAGGTGCCTATACACCTTACAATTATCTGCAGATTTTCTGTGGTCAGATGGAAAAAGTGCAACAGATTGGCCCAGGTGGAGATTACTCCATCCACACAGTTAAGTGTAGATGGAGGAATCTGTTGCACCTTTTCCATCTGACCATAGAAAATCTGCAGATAATTGTAAGGTGTATGGCCAGCTTTCCAGGAAAACTGCAATTCAGTGGACTGCACACAAACCTTTAAAAAAAAAAATCTAGATCTGCTTATATACCAGTAATCACATACATTTTTGTATCCTATCACTGGACCAACAATGGAGAGAAAGGGAAAATGCATGGTGCCACAAAATATCTAAAAATGCAATTGACTTGAAAAGAAAAAACAAATTGCATTGTGTAGGTAAATATCAAAATAGGAAAATATGCAGGTTTTCAAGCACAACCTGGTCAGAAGATGTCAAGGTCTTCCAGACAAATTAGACTCCTTCCCCAAACCTGTCCAGCCAATCCAGGGGGTTGAATAGATAAGAGCCCGTTGACACGGGTATTCCGAGCAGGTCTGCCTGTCAGTTTTTCAGGAAGAACTGATCGGAAGCCCAATGTTAGTCTATGGGCAGCCGAATCTAAAAGGATGTGCGTCCGTTTACATCTGATTAGCCTGACTCCAGCCAGGTCCGGAAAACCAAACGGAACAGAGTTGCAGACCTGATCGTGAGGGATCTGGGGTAATCCGATGAAAATGGACGTATGTCCATTTACATTGGACTCCCAATAGACCAACACCGGCCCAATAATTTAATTTTTTAAGGAGGAAAAAAAACGGACACAATGGTGACATCCGTTCTGAACCGCTTAGATCAACAGGGGATCCATGCACCCCCTACAAATTAGAACTGAAGGTTTCCATGTGAAATGGGTCTGATCACATCAAGTTTCCCAGATGCATATGGAAGGCAACTTGTTACCAGAATGTGCCGATGAAACAAATGATATTTATGTTCACAGTGTAGGATTTTTTTTTTCCCACTGAAGCTCTGGGGCCACTGATGGAATACATAATTCACAGTGGAGGTATCTAGTTTGCAACAGTTCAAATATGTTATCAGCTTAATGTAAATAATCTTGGTTAATGTTAAAGTGAACCTGTCATGACAAAAATACAGAGGCTGCTGTTATAGTTCTCTGTCTGAAAACAGTAGTTACCTGGTGTTCATACTGGTCTTCTAGCTTCAATGCTTTCTGGGTTACTGACTAAACACAAGTATGCAGATGCCAGAAAGCCGGAGAAAAGTCAGCAAAAATTATTTGTCTGCATGTTTCACCTGAACATTGACTCACAGTACTGAAGTAAGATACCACAGCCAGGCAGCTAGTATTTACAGGAGATGGCCACAATACCTGTCCCCAGTTTTTTTTTGTCTAGGGGCTTTGTTCTTGTTGATATAAGTTATATCATTTGAAGACTGTAAAGAGCTGTTTTCATTGGTCGTTGGATATAAGTTGTGAGGAATTTGAATCCCTGGTCTAGCCTCCGAGGACATTAGTGAAAAACTGAGAGGGTATATCCTGGGCTGGCCTACATTACTTTGTCTGTCAGTGTCCAATCCTCTTGCAGACGACAGTACAACCTATATGTTAAACATTTCCTGTGTTCCTCAAAGAACAATAAAAAGTGACACTCCTTTGTACCACACATTTTGCTGAAGCACGCTCTCAGCCTTGGAACTACAAGTCCCATGAGACATTGCAAGACTGACAGCAACAAACATGACTCCCAGAGACAGGTGCATGATGGGATTTGTAATTTCACCACTCCTGGAGCGCCAAACTTGCCTACCCCTAATCTAATCATGGTTTCTCTTGGGAACCCGGACACTTATTGTAAGGATGACATCACTGCGCATAAATAAGCCCCCATTCAACTAGTGAATTTTGCAATGTCCAAAAAAATGCATCACACTTACCCTTTGCAAGTGTGAATGGGTGCGTAGGGCACTACAACACTGAAAGCACGTTAAGCAGTGAAAAAAAGGCACAAAATATAGTCTCAATTAAAACACTATAGTCTCCCTTTCAAAAAAGCAACTTAGACTCTTATCTTGCTTTCATCTGTACCTCTACAATGCGTCAGATTAGCATAAACCAAACTTGTGTACGATTGCATTACGTCTTATTGCCAAACACTTTAATACCATTACTGAATATTAGAGAGATGAAAGCTAGAACATGATCACAGCATTACATGACTCCACCAGCTTGCCGTAGTTGCCGAGCTGCAGCTGATCTCGCTTTGTCAGCTGACGTCTAATTTGCTGTTTCCATAGGCATTCCATATCACGTGACCACCAGCGGCAGACCTTTCACGGGGCTCAATTGCTACGCCCACAAATAGGCTCCTCCGTTAGCCTTAACCACGCTGGCCAAAATTTCTTGTCATAGATTTGCACAGCAAGCAAGTGATTAGGTATACTGGACGCCATCTTAGTACTCTCATTACTTACGGGAACCGGAAGTGTCTGATGGAAGCTCCGCTGTTGTAAAGGAAGCTGAGTCTTTGGGAAGGTGTTGATTTGTTGAACAGGGTATGTGTTAGTTTACGGGATCGCTTTGCACTCCAAAATTATTTTTGCACTTTTTTTTGTAGGACATGTGAGTCATTTTTTATTATAATTTGTAATCATTATGCTGTATGTTCTTTTTTTGTTTAACCAAATAGACAATTAAAAAAATAAATGTACCTTTTTCCTTGTTTTAAATGCATCATATTTTATATAACTGATGCCATTAAATGTTTTGATTATAGATTTATTCTGTAAAGTGTGGCACGCACTGTTTCTGCTATAGAAATACTACATAATCTTGTTATTTCCAAATATTTGTTTTGCTTATAAGGATGCCAATATGTGTAGGTCTTTATAAATATTTTATTTAATCTATGGCAGGGGTGTGCAAACTTCTGCCCTCACGCTGTGGCGAAAGCACAAATCCCATCATGCATCTTCCTATGGCAGTCATGCCTGTGTTTTGCAATGCCAGTGACAGAGCCATGGCACTGAATACTGTCTGTGTGCATCCAGATCAGTGCATCCATCCTTGTATTGATGTCATGGTGGATTGGTTTATGGTGGATTTGTAGTTGCACCATAGCTGAAGGGCCAGAGTTTGCGTAGCCCTGGTCTATAGTAAAAAAAAATAAGTGTGTGCTGCAGTGATGTAAGGGTTAGCAAAAGGGACCAGGAATTCAACATGTCAGCAAGTGTCTCGGATGAAGAGGATTCTCTGGGCATCCCAGCTCTTGAAGACTGAGACGATCAGTAGGGGCAAAGGTAAGGCTGATTCACACGGGCTCATGGATCCATAAATCCAGACGGGGCTACGTTTATGCGCCCGGGACGCACAGGTGTTCCATGACAGCCATGGCTCTGTCACTGTACGGATGTAAAGACTGATATGTGCATGATCTGTACAGCCACATCCTGTCATTGAATTAACAGGAAGCTGTTTGTAATACCTGGGCACATTAACATGGCCCCCTGCACTGAAGTATGGATCCATGCACCCATGTGAAGCGGCCCCAAGTATAAAATCCCTTCTTTACAGGGAATACGTTCTTACTCTTTTTAAAATAATATTGAACCTCTGCCTTTTTAAAATGTACTGGGTAATGTTATGCATTGCAACATTAATTATCTAGTACATTTATTACTTAAAGTGCCTGAAAAATTAATTGCTCGACGACAGCGGCTCCAGGTTGCTTCTCTTTAACATCCAGGTAGTGGAGCGCACTCCCTGTTCACTTCACATATAGCAGCTGATTGGCTGCAGTCACTGTTCAACAATTTTCAGCCCGGCTCCTTCGACGTAAGTCAATTGAAAAATTAACTTTTGTTGAACGGAATGGTGTCGGGAAGGCGATGCACTGCTCAAGTTTTAGTCGGCAGGACTCGCCAAATTTGAGTGGTGTATGGCCAGCTTTAGACAGTTTTCCCCAGAACAGGGGTCCTCATTGGAAAATTTTCACTGATGCCTAGTTAAGGTGACGGCTGTAAAATGTTGGTTTTTCTATGCTGCGAACATATGTTTTAAGGGGTTTCAAGTGTATGTTGTCCATTTTAGCTTTCAGGTTTTACTGTTTGCATTGTTCATCTTATGCTGTTTGCAGTGACCTAGGTATATACAATCATGTCCTTGCAAATTCCCATCTTTCCAGCACTTCACTGCAATCTTCACCTTGGTGTGGATGCTCAACACTACCAGTTTGTAGTACTACCATTTGGTCTATCTTCTGCATTTATAGGGTATTCCCATTGTAGGATACCTGAATCATTTTCTAGTGAGGGTAATGTCAGCTTAAAGAAGAACTCCAGGAATTTGTTTTATTAACCCGTGCAGTGGGGCGACCCACTGAGAGGCTTCATTGACCAGACTAGCAGGCAGCCGGCGCGGAGGTTTGGGTGAGTATAACTTTTTTTTCCAGCACCTAGACAAAAATGAGAATGTAAAAGTGTTAAGAACACTTATGCCCAGAGTTCTTCTTAAAAACCAGGTTCTGTTGTTGCAGTTTGAATCAAGTAGTTATTTGCAGCTACTAAAACTTGCCGCTCCTGTGTGCAATCGGTATGTCTGTTATGGCATAATTTAGGGCTCATTCATATGGGCTGTATAAACATTGCGTACAGATGTGCACGGTGCTTATTTATGTGTGCATCTAAACACAACACATGCAAATAAACAAATAGTGCGTTTTTTAAGCTGATGTAAACTTGTGCATATGTGCGTGAAGTTTCTGGTGCTCAGGGATTGTTTATAGTGCTAGAAGAATTTCTATGCATAAAAACACATACGGACCGAATGCGCACATATACGTGTCTTCAGAGATGCGTATTTTACGCATAAAATTCTGCACTTGCATTCCTTCTATGCGTGTGTGAATGAGTCCTAACTGTCTTGCAGTAGAATTCCAATTACAAAAATAGAGGGAAATAAATGGTACATTTTTTTTTTTCTGTATCATACAGGATCATTTCAGCCATTTGTACTACTAAGGCTGGTGCATTGTGAGTTCCAACTGAACAGTCCTTGTATTCATGGCCACCTATAGCTTGGCCAATGAGAGGCTCCGTGTCCTAGAGGAAATTGAGAAGGAGATTGCTGCCGTCTTGCTAAATGCAGGTAATCCTGTTAAATGATCGGTGTGTTCACAGCAGTTGTACACATTAGGACTGTGGTTTTGTTTGTGTGGTTTTTGTGTGGTTTTTGTTTATGTTCCTATCTATTTTTTCCACCTTCCAGTTTTACTTGGCAACTAAGTATTGTTATTTAACCCTTTTCTGAGCAGAGGTAATTGAAAGCTAGATGGCCTGGCAAAATGTATCAGCATCAGCTAACTTGACGGTAGGACTAATACTATTTTTATATGTTTTAAGGTCCTAGCATAGGGGACTATTACATGCTAACAAATACACAACAATGTAATGGTTTTAAAAAAAAAATAAAAATAAATTATATATATATATATTGTTATTTTATCTGATAAGTACACCATTAAACATAGACACAGATCTACAGGTTGAAGACTTATTTTTTTGATTGAAGCATCCAGCCTGCATGTTATTAGCCATAGCTAATAACGGTCACGTAATGGAGAACGACTCTGGTTCCTGATTTTTAGTGGGGACAGAAGGGGTCACTGATAGCCCCGTCAAAGGGTGGGACAGGAAATTACTGTCCCTTTAGCAAGGGTTATTTTTGCAGGAGAATGTTAAAGCTTAGCTAAACCCAAAGACAACAAATTAATATATTTTTCAGCTTACCAGTCCTTAGAAATAGTTTCTTTTTTTCATGAATATTTTTCCGATATTTTAACTAGGTAATCCTGCAAACCACACAATTCTTGTCCTAGGCTGTGGCTGTGCTTGTTTCTATACTGTATCCATAGAGAGAGCCATGGTTGACACCTTAGAACACAAACACATCTTCATCTCCATTAAATGGGGGTAGGGGAGTTAGTTTACATAAGATAGCTTGGAATAAAAGAAAACAGTTTGATATATCAGTCTAATTCCCATGACGTTCCCAAAACATGACATTTTCTGGCAAAATCAACAGGTGTGTTCTGTACTTGTGAAAAATATTCTTAGCTTGAAAAAGGAAAACTAATCCAGCCACCATATGTAAGGACTGCTAAACTGCAATATATTAAATGTTTGTTTTTAGGGCTGCAGCTAATGATCATATTCATAATCGAAAGTTGCCGATTAATTTTTTTCGATGAATCGATTAGTTGTATTTAAAAAAATCTCTCTCCCCCCAACCAACTAATCAATAATGAGAATAGTTGCCAACTATTATCGATTTAATAGATTAGTTGTTGCAGCCATATTTGTTTTTGTGTTTAGATATCCTTTAATTTACAGATTGCAGGAAAAAAAAGACAGTGAAGCTAAGGGCCTGTGTTAACAGGCTTTTGTTCGCTTCAGGTGGGTTTTGCATACCCATACCAGTATGTGTGCATGCAAATCCCATTTGAAGCAGATCAGAAAGAGGTCAACCGAAGAACAAATGCACCTGTCAGTAAATTGTAAATTATTTTAGAAGCATCTCAAGCAAATGCATTCGGAACAGGCCTCAAATATTCAAAATCAATGTTAAAAATGTAATGATCATCAAAGGTCTTTAAGTTAACTTTTTATATAATATTTGTATTATGGGTTGCTGAATTTTATTGGCATGTTAGTTTTTGGTGCCAAGAACTCAGCACTAGGTAGTTCCCGACACAAGGGTTTTGCTACCCTAAAAATAAATTGGTATGGGGGTTCTTTGGTAATGAAACTGACAGATCAGTAATTGTTTTGTTTTTGTAGCATTTAATAGTAGGGCTGCGGAAGTGAATGATTAATTCCTCGATTAATCGTTATTTTTTGATCGATTAAAATGTTTTTGATCGATACTCACCTGCGCAGGCTTCCGGGACTTCCGTCGGAGATCCGGTGATGTCACGGACATCGACGTCACCGGACTCCTCCCCCCCTTCCCCAAGTGGCCCTGTCGGCTAACGAAGGGAAGGGGGGAGGAGTCCAGTGACGTTGATGTCCGCGGCCTATTGTGCAGACAGAGGACTTCAGTGTGGGATGTAAACAAACACATTGTTCCATAATATGGAGTAATGAAGCTTTGACTAATTTATACCAGCTTGCCATCTTCCAGGCATAAAAAAAGGCTTCTATTGATATTATAGACTTTCCTTACAGAGATGGAAGTTTTGAAATCTTTTTAAATAGCTCCGAGTGGAATTCAAGCTTAATAAGTCTTTCTATCAATACCTGCAGATTTTTACCTTTTTAAAAACTTCTTTGTGTGGCCCTGTCCCCATTACCATTGTTGCTTAGACAAGAATTCTGTATGTGCGTTATAATTAATTGAAATTAATCGATTAAAAAAATCTTTAGATTAATCAAACGAAAATTTTAATCAGTAACAGCCCTATTTAATAGTCTAATTTTACCTAATTTAACTGTGTGTAGGAGGTTAGGTGGTAGGGGTTAAAAACATAACGTGAAAGAGCTGCTTAATTGGCTGGACCCTGATGACGTATGCGGCAAGAATCCTGCCAAGACAGTACAACTGTTGTAGAAAAAGTGTTGACAGGTAGGGAGCAAAACCTAAGGCAGAAGAGATTTCACAGTCTCTTCTGCCACAAAATAGCATTTTTGACAATTTGGACTTCACTTCCACTTTATCCAATTGTTTGGTTCAATCGTTATGTTTCTGTGTAGTGTGGAGCTGTGTGCAGCCGTGGACCAGCAGGGAGGAGAACGGGGAGCAGAGTGGCGGCGGCGGATTCAACTAATCAAATCAACTAATCGATAATGAGAATCATTGACAGCGATTCTCATTGATGATGATTTATTTTATCGATTAGTTGTTTCATCCCTAAATTGCTCTGCTGTGAAAATGTGCTATGTTATGTGATAATGCCATACCACTACATTATAATTCAGCCTATAAGTACCACAGGTTAATTCAAAGGTAACTCTAATGCCTTTAGCTCCTAGTTCAGTTTGTCATGCCAGCAGGCTACTAGCTTGATCTCTTGAAGGCAACTTTCTTTCAGTAAATCTGAGTTTGAGCTTATTTTGTTTTAAAGAAAAATTGTCATGATTGTACTTAAACAAGAATCATATTTAGTCAGTATAATTGTGCAGGCTAAATTATGAAATAATTAAATCTGTTCTCTTATACAACTTTACTTTGTGTGAGTTTGGCTTATCGACTTTGGTAGTAGGGTAAACAGTCCCATGAAGGTTTGATAGTTGTTTCTCAGTAGCCTGACCAAACAAACTGACTTCCAACTGCTGAGTGTGCATAACCAAATCAAATAGTAGAGCCTTTTAATTAATAACAATTCACACCTTCAGCCATGTAAACCGAAGGATTAACAAGTGTCCCACACTTTGTGACACTAAGGTGATTGGATTATGTAATTAGAGTAGTATATTTATTTTCCATTATGTTTATGGACAAAGTGAGTTATGCTTGTGGATGTTAAGGGTAGGGTATGTCTCGTAATCTTAGAACGTATGAACAAGTCCTGTCAAATGTGACTAATGAGCTATACCGTAATCTGGATAATTGAGAACCTAAGATATAGAGGGAATGGAGGCGATACATTTTCTTTACTTTGGTCCACATGGCTACAATATCGTACAAATTTAAGGTATTCTTGAATTTATACACATTATTGCCAATTGGACATATCAGCGACATATATGTGAACTTAAGATGTCATTTGTTGTAAACCACTGTGTGGTTTACAAGTGTGATGTAAATGCTAATACGTGCATAGATGATTGGATCTTAGCGATTTAGTTCCCTGATAATGTTTTATTGATATGTGCATATGGTGGATGTTTTCCTTTTTCCTTTTTTTTTTTTCTTGCTCTGTTTGTTCTATATTCTATTTTTTTAAATGATTGTTAAAAGGAAAACTTTAATACAAATTATATGATCTAAAAAAAAAGATATGGGTTGACAATTTTTTTTTTCTCTTGCAGGAAATGTTATTTTGGAACTCTCCAAAGAAAAGCCAAATGAACGTCTCCTAGACAGACAGGCCACTCAGTTCATGGCTTCTATGCAAAAGGTGGAATCTGAGCTTTCAGGACAGATCCGCTATCTTACACAGGTACAAATTTAGGGGCAATATTAAGAAACAAGAAGAGGCAGTAGTTGCCTATGAACTAAACAAAATATTTTAATCTAGTTGATGATTTTGGACAATATAGACAGTTCATATTTTTCATTATTTTATAAATGATTTACGTAACGTTGTTATAAATTAGTTGTTTTTTTTGTACAGGGCAGTAAATAGAATTCCCAAAATGGGGTTTTACTAACATTCCAATATAAAGATACTGGTAGAGCAAAAAGAAAAATGTGTAACTGTGGGTGCCTAATTAATGTCTTGCCCAAATCACTGCTACGATTCATAAAACTTTATTACCAAGTAAAATTAAAACCATAAAATGGCTGACACTTGTTATATCCTTCACATATATAGTTCTTTTTTAAATGTATCAATAAACATTTCTGTAGAATGATCGGGTATACAGGTAGAAGGTAGAATAAGAATAGGCAAGGTTATATTTAAATATGTACCGTATTTGCCGGCGTATAAGGCGACTGGGTGTATAAGACGACCCCCTAATTTTCCACCTAAAACATAGGTTTTCGGCTATACTCGTCATATAAGACTACCCCACTTCCGAGGCAACACCATTTAAAAACATAATGGATGGATGTGCGGTAATACTGTATGTACGGTAGATTCAGCTACATACAGTATACCGCTGAGCCAATCACGGCGAGCAATGTATTCTGTTAATGAATACAAAGCTTGCTTGGATTTGCAGATGTTGTGTACATCGCTCGCCGTGATTGCCTCAGCTACTGTATGTAGCCAAAGCTACCGTACATACAGTATTACCGCACATCCAGCCGCTGACAGATTAGGGACGTTTGTTTTGGGCCAGATTGGCCTAAACGAACTAAAGGTTCACATTGTATTGGATGTTTTTAAGTATAAAAAGTAGTCTTATACGCCAGCAAATACAGTACATGTTTAGTATTTGATGCCTGCTATATTTATACAGTGAACTCTGTTATCTGGTATTCAGCTAACCAGAACTCCCATTGAACGGGGAAAAAAAAATGAATCCCCGTGTACTTACTGTTCTGCCGATCTGCACCTTTCTAGGAGTGGGAGAGAGGGCTCTGGAGCATGGAAAGGTACAGGAATGGGCTGAAAAGTGCGGGATTATCCTGTGAATGAGCATCTGAGCAACATCTGAAAAGTGCTGGAAACCGGTGTCTGATCGATTTGTTTGTGAAAGTGCTGTGTTATCCTGTAAACAAGCGCCACCTCGTGATCCTTCCCAGTACTGCAATGTATTGCTAATTGTTTAGAGTACAATGTACTGTTATGGTATGGTATAGTATGGGGTATATCACAATGCAGTTGTGAGCAGCTAGCACATTAGCCCCCAGGTGTGACCTCTCCCCCTTAACTTTGGATAATTGTAACATAAGAGAAAAAAAACAGGGGTTTCTGAGAGGTATTACACCACAGCTTAAAGTTTTTTTGTATAAAATTAATTTTTTATTACACATGTACTAAAAATATATATAAAAAAGACAAACAACAATTGCAAAAAGCCCTAAAACAAGATCATTGTATCAGGAGCATAGACCCATAAAGCATTCTGTACATATCAGTTAAAGATCAATAAATGTTCATTTGAGAATCAGTGTGTCCAATCAATACGCGTTTCACAGCTTTGCTTCATCAGGGGTTTGTGAACTGATCTAACAAGAAACAGTATGTTCAATCAATGCATATCAACAATACATTACATAAATCTATTATAGAGTGTATAGAGAGATGTGTTTCGGCAGCCAGACCAAACAGAGGGAAACCCACCACCACTGTCACCATCACACACCCGACACTCACCACCCACTGGGAGTAACTGGATATGGGTAGAGTTCCCTGTACGGAGTGTGGACGGGGATCGGATTCCTCCGACATAAGCACTCTGCCCATATCTGTCCCGGGGACCTCAAGGCCACGATAGGAGGGATCCCAGGTGTAAGCAGAAAGGCAGGACTGCCTATGCTTATCTTAGCTGTAATATTGTTGTGGTCTAGCTGCCGAAACACATCTCTCTATACACTCTATGCTATATAATAGATTTATGTAATGTATTGTTGATATGCATTGATTGAACATACGGTTTCTTGTTAGATCAGTTCACAAACCCCTGATGAAGCAAAGCTGTGAAACGCGTATTGATTGGACACACTGATTCTCAAATGAACATTTATTGATCTTTAACTGATATGTACAGAATGCTTTATGGGTCTATGCTCCTGATACAATGATCTTGTTTTAGGGCTTTTTGCAATTGTTGTTTGTCTTTTTTATATATATTTTTAGTACATGTGTAATTAAAAATAATTTTATACAAAAAAACTTTAAGCTGTGGTGTAATACCTCTCAGAAACCCCTGTTTTTTTCCTCTTGTGTTACAATAGTGTGGGGTATAGCATTAGTTAATAATGTTTAATAGTAACTCTCAAGCAACAAGAAACTGAATTTATCCAGAATCTTCCAATCCCCCGTGGATGCCGGTTAACGGTGAGATTACTGTATTGATATTTTTTTGTACCGGTACTTGTAGATCGTTGTCCTATGTGTTCCCCTTTCAGAAGTGGACTCTTGGTTTATGAAATATTAAAAATGTACTATCCATCATTGATGTCGCAGCATATTGCATATACATTTTAGCAGGGATTTTGCAAAGACAGAAAATCACAAATTTTTATTTTTGCTCTACTAGGATTTACAAAAAGTGTCAATGATAAATATCAAGTTCACAGTACAGCAGGAATGTATTGTATTCAAATTATTTGATTTTTGTTGGCCAGTATTTTTTTTTTTACAGCTTCCTCCCGTTTTTGTTTTTTTAAATCCAGGTAGCCACAGGGCAGCCACATGAAGGATCCAGTTACAGCACACGGAAAGATGGCACAATGGCCCTTAACAGAATTGATTATGCTCGGGTAAAGCTAGCAGAGCTGTGCCGAACTTGTGAACAGATGCTGGATCAACCTTGACCTCTGGGATTAAAGATTTTATTTTAAATGAACTTTTCATTATGTAATATTGACCAGAAAATGGGGTTCTCATTAGATACTTGGCGAGTGTGACAAATTGACCTGGTCTGACTTTTTTTCTACTTTTGTAGAAAATAAACTATGGCTGTTTTTTTAGATACATACTGATGTAGAAGTAGAGAATTTTTTTTTTTTTTTTTACTCGGATGTGCAGGATACATGTATCCATTTCCTTAAATGGATTAGCACTGAATATAGACTGAATCAGTTCTCCAATTTTTTTCTTTTTGTAATTTTTGTGTTTGCTTGCAAATCATAATGATTCATGAACTCTGTCAGCATGTACTCCCCTATAGTATGAAGGCCCAATCACACTATGCCAGTCTGTTGTGTGTAACCAGTCCATTCAGATTTTTAAGAGCTGCCAATGCATGAAAAAATTATCAAATCTGTAACCTTTTTGGTAACGCAGCGCTATTCAAAATGATTGGCAACACAGTTTACAAAATCATGTACAGTGTATTAGCACAATGTGCCAGTGTAAACACGCCCTAACACCTCTTTCCACGGGTATCATCCTTATTGTGACCTCCTTGTCAGCACAGGACCCCTCCTACTACCAGGATCCCTTAGTTTTTTTGCTAGTGTCCTAGGAGGATGGATGTCTTCTCTTTAGCTTTGCTGCGTTCAGGAGATTTAAAAAAAAAGGTAAGCAAAGCTGTAAGGACAGCCTATTATAACCTCTCCAACTCCCATCATGCTCTTGTTAGTCTACTAGTAAAACAGACATCCAATCTCCTCATAGAGAAGCAAACTCTTTCTCACCTTTTCTGCTTTTTAACAAGATTCCTGTTACTTCTAGCAACCTTCTTCAATTGCTGCAGAGCTAGTGGGGGTCATTTTGCACCTCTCCAAATCAGCTGATCCTTGGCAGTGCCTACTATGAGGAAGAAACAGAACTGGCCTGTTGTGTTCTGATGGCACTGGGCTCTCCTAGACACCTTTTAGGTGTATTGTATGCACCAAAAAAAGAGCACCTTCTTGCCTTGGCAACATTTCAGACATTTGGGGTCAAGAATGTGTTATCCAGGGGATATAAGCTTGAGTCGGACCTCGGGTCTGCTCTGGTGCAGCTCCTCCCGCACAAGGTCATAGCCAGGATCTTTGCTCAAACCTGTTCACTTTTCCCAAAGCAAAAGAGGGAATTTACCCCATTCTGTATCCAAAGGTTCTCAACTTCCTTCGGGTACAAAAATTACACATAAAATCTACCAGGTTAGTCATTGCTTCACTCCATCTGGGGGACTTTCTGGCTTCTGTGGAAATCAACGATGACAACTTGTATGTCACCATCATTCCAAGAGCACCACCAAGCCTCCCCTCGCTGCTGCATTGGCTCTGCTCCCGCCACACTGCAGTTCTCTCCTCTCCGCTGCATGCTGCGGCCTGTGTCTCATCCGATCCCCGCTGCTCTCCCCCACCTGTATCAGCAGAGGCAGCAGGGACCGGAGGGGACACAGAGCTGATCCACCTGCCGAAGCCCAGCGGGGAGCAGGGACAGGGCCAAGTCAGGTGCGGGGTGGAGGGCTGCAGGACATTTGGCAAATATGTGAAATATTTGCTGATCGTTCCCTGTAATCAAACATCGCAGTAATCAGTATGATCTTTGTGAATAACTGAGGGCGTAGTATTTAGATACTGTGTCCCCAATTATGAATAAACAGGAAGTGCTCTACATCACTTCATGTTCATTCATAATTGTGGACACAGTATCTGTTTACTCAATTTATGAATGAACAATGGAGACTCTGTACTGAGTGATTCCTGTTCATTGAGTGCTGGGGCTGCCAAAAAAATAGATTGAGGACTTTTTTTTTTTTAATTTCAAAATGGAAATATCAGACCCCTGATATTTTCCCCAAGCCCCTAACCGTGAAGTAAAATCAATCAATAAATAAAATGATAAAAAAATAATTTAATAAAAAGTTAAAAAAGAAAAAGGCCGCCCTCCCCCTAATCATAAAAAACAAAAAGTGGATTCCAGTGCGGTGTGCTTGCAAAAAAATCCAGTTTTATTCTGAAGTAAACTTTGTTTGTAACACTCCTGTTGTGTATTTTATTGTAAATTTAAGGATGGTATTTATCTATACATTTTTTATTTGATTCAATTTCAAAAATTATCGGCCAACTTATCGATTTTGAAAATAAGTGTTAGTTGTAGCCCTAGTCTAGATCAACCGTTGGCTTTAGTACACAGTAGCACTCCATAGTGAAAGCTTACATTGTGTTCACCCCGTACATTCCCCATTGACTCCATGGGCTCTCAACTTTGTTCTGTACTTTAATTCACAAGATTGCCTTCCTCATTGCCATCACCTCTGTGAAGAAAGTTTCTGCGTTGGTGGCCTTAACCTATAAAGAACCCTTTCTTATGCTACATAGAGACAAGGTTGTCTTAAGCCCTAAGGTTTTTTTTTCTTTCCAAGGTAATTTCTTCCTTTCAACTTAACCAGGACATTGCTCTTCTCTGCGATCCTGTGCTCCTATGCTTTGCTATATCTTGCTCCACAATATTTTCCTCCACTTCCTAGGTGTGGTACCAACTGTTTGAGTCTCTCTGCTACAGCTTCTTTTAAACAGACATACTCTTGCCATTTCTGAGGATTCCTGTATAGGACAACCTGCTTCTAGTTTCACTATCTCAAGGTGGATTTGGAAGCTCATCATTCTAGCCAAAAGACTTAGTGACGCTAAACTCGGGAGTTAAACCTTAAAAATGCATTTATGTACCTTTAACTGTTAGCGAAAATGTAGTTTTTGTGTATCACTCAGCTACAGATCCTCAAAGCATCTTAGAATTCATGCTGATACTGTCCTTCCTTCTGGAGGGTGGTTACTTTGGTTCCCCATGGTCCCTGTGTGTGTTGTAATGTAGCCAGCACTCCAAGCTCGCTCCCCTGATGGACTGCAACCTAATACCAATTAGCTGTGACCCTGCTTTGCCAAACCCTGGCTGATTGGGCAACAGAGGCGGCTCTCTAATTAGGCGAGTAAGGCGGTCGCCGAGGGCTTCGCGGCTGCCTAACTCGGATGTGCAGCATCACTTCACCTGACAGCATTGCAGATCCAGGAAGGAGGAAAGGGGGGGTGCACGGAGGCTGCAGGGCAATTCCATTCTCCATTCTTGCTGCTCCCTTCCTCTGCCCAGGGGCGGACTTATCCGAAGAGCCGCGGCTTCCTCCTTTAGTACTGAGGGAACTAGGAGGGGTCCTGGCATTCTGCCACTTGCTACTTCCTTCCTTGCAGAGAGCAAGCCGGGGGTGATGTGGACAGGTAGAGGCGCCCCTGCTTCTGCAGTAGCCAGCGGTGGCATGGAATTGGAGGAGGGCAAGAAGGAACAAATAGGTCTGGGGTACAGGGAGTTTCAAAACTGGACCAGGAGCAGCGGGTACATGGAGTTCAGGTTAGTGAAGCACCCCTGTTTTTAACATTGTGAAAACAACAAAAAAAAACCATAATTCTTTTTTTTTTCTTCAAATGCCCAAATCGTGTCATTGTTTACAACTGCTGCTAAAGATTTTCTGTGTAAAAAATCAAGCTGCCCAATACCAGTGAGCCCCATACTGTGTGATTCTTTATGCGATCTGTGCGTTCCCTAATTCTGACCTCTGTCCGTTCCTTCCTTCTGACCTCTGTGCTCTCCTTACTTCTGACCTCTGCGCTCTGTGCGTTCCTTACTTCTGACCTCTGTGCATTTCTTCTGTGCTCTGTGTGTTCCTTACTTCTGACCCCCTGCGCTCTGCAGTGGCGTAACAATAGCCATAGCGGCCCATGCGGCTGCTATGGGGCCTGGAGGTGGAAGGAGGCCCCAATAAGCATTGCAGAAGTTGCCGCTGACACTGACATGATCAATCAAGAAGAGCTGACATCGGATATACAGGGGGGCGCTATGCGGGCAGCTCTCCTGCTACCTGACTTTAATATAATTGACCGTAGGGAGGCTGCTGGGGGACCCCATCAAAATTTTGCTATGGGGGCCCATGATCTGTGATTACGCCCCTGGCTCTGTGCATTCCTTCTGTACTGTGTACGTTCCTTCTGTGTGTTCCTTAATTCTGACCTCTGTGCTTTGTGCGTTCCTTAATTCTGACCTCTTCGCTCTGTGTGTTCCTTATTTCTGACCTCTTCGCTCTGTGCGTTCCTTAATTCTGACCTCTTCGCTCGGTGCGTTCCTTAATTCTGACCTCTGTGCGTTCCTTAATTCTGATCTTAGCGCTTTGTGCATTCCTTACTTCTGACCTCTGCGCTCTGTGCATTCCTTAATTCTGATCTCTGCGCTCTGTGTGTTCCTTACTTTTGACCTCTGTGCTCTGTGTGCTCCTTAATTCTGCGCTCTGTGCGTTCCTTCTGACCTCTGTGCGCTCCTTCTGCACTCTGTGCGTTCCTTACTTCTGACCCCTGTACTCTGCATTCCCTAATTCTGACCTCTGCGCCCTGTGTGTTCCTTAATTCTGACCTCTGCGCTCGGTGCGTTTCTCTCAGGTCTTTTGGATCACAGTGCCATTGCCCCAGTTCCTGTGGCAGAATAGTATCAGGGGGTTTTACTCCCTTTTCACAGTTCCTAAACCTAAAGGGGACACATCTTGGATCTCAAAGCACTGAATGTCTTCATTCAAATTCGGAAATTCTGCAAAGAAACTACCAGGTCTGTCATCTCCTCAATGTACCAGGGAGACTTCCCGGCTTCTGTATACATCAAGATGTGCCCATCTTGGTGTCATCTGAACCTGAGTCAGTCAGACTATGTAGAGTACATTAACCACTAGGGAGGGACCAGAAGTCCCGCAATGGCAAGAGAGGTAGAGTGGATCCTGCCCTGGGCAGAACTTCACGTTCAGCCATGTCTGCAGTTTACATTTCAGGCCCTCATAATTGATAGGCAGACTTCCTCAGCTGGCTGCTTCTGGGCTCTACACCTGGACCTGGGAAATAGCGAATGTGGGCCTCCTGGCATCCAGGTTCAACAACAAACTGGACATATTTGTCT